CCCCCCAGCTCTCAGGCAGGCAGTGGGAGAGTCAAGGTGGGCTTGGAGCGGGGACAGGGGGAATGGGGTGGGTGCTATGTGATCGTCTTTCGGTTGGGAAGGGTCGAGTGGGTGAAGACACTGTGCAGAGGGGGTCAGAAGTGGAAGAGAGTTCGAGGGGTGTCCCCAGGACTGGGCCTGGGTAGGGGCCGACGTCTGCCCTCCCCCCAGGTTCACCGAGGCCCTGGTCACCATCCGGAACCGCCACAATGACGTGGTGCCCACCATGGCGCAGGGCGTGCTGGAGTACAAGGACGCCTACGGCGACGACCCCGTGTCCAACCAGAACATCCAGTACTTCCTGGACCGCTTCTACCTCAGCCGCATCTCCATCCGCATGCTCATCAACCAGCACAGTGAGCCGGCGGGCGGCCCCCACAGTCACCGCTTTCACTGTTTACAGAACGCGAGACGGCGTCCCCTCTTTAAAAAGTGTTCAGTGTGGTGGACACAAAACTCTCCTTGGAGGGGTCAGGGTTAGAGGAGAGAGCGGGAGGGTGGGGAGGGGGTGCCACTCAGGGTCAGAGGCGTTAGGAATAGAGGTGGAGGGGGAGAGCCCCGGGGGGAGGCGGGGGAAGAGCAGGACGGGCTCTGCACCCCCGGCGGCAGCACCCTCCTTCCCGCCGCAGCCCTGATCTTTGACGGCAGCACCAACCCGGCCCACCCCAAACACATCGGCAGCATTGACCCCAACTGCAACATCTCCGAGGTGGTGAAAGGTAAGCGGTCCCAGGCGTGCCCGGCTGGAAGGCGGCCCATTCTTCAGCGGGCGGGCGTGGGCCTTGTCCCCCTGGGCTTACTGTGGGTGATGCCTAGTGGTGCTGCCGAGAGGACCACGTGCCGGTGGGCCTCCCCATCCCCTGAGTGGCTGGCCTCTCTCTCCTCCTAGATGCCTATGACATGGCCAAGCTCCTGTGTGACAAGTATTACATGGCCTCACCTGACCTGGAGATCCAAGAGATCAATGGTGAGCGAGCAGGGCTGTGTGTGTGTGTCTGTCTGACAGTTAGACAGGTAGGCGCCCGCCTGTCCCAGCTGCACCTCTGTATTACATTGTGTGAATTACAAGGGACCAAGACTGACGGGCAGAGATAGGCCACTTTCTAGACTTGAGTTTCTAAGGGGGTAGGGCTGAATGTGGTGTATCTTTCTGTCCCCACCGCCCAGCACAGGGCTTGAGAGTCCTTCACTCACCGATCCTCGGCACTTTTATCGAGCTTCTGCTGCCCACAAAGCTCTGTGCCAGACACCAGGAAGAAACGGTCCCTACCACGAAGAAACCCCAGACTAGTGTGATTCCCGGGGAGCCGGAGCCTGGGGGCGGAATCCCCTGTGCAGTCCCCCTGCCCGCTCCCCGCAGGGCGCAGGAGCTCTCCAGGGGATGCTAGTGTCCAGGTGAAGGGTAGTAGGCTGGATGGAGTACAGACAGATCCTGCTGGAATGTGTGAATGGTGAATAGATGGGTGGGTAAACAGGGGATGAATGGAAGCGTGGATATGGACCCTGAGTGGATAGGTAGGTGGTGAGGATAGATGTCTGAACAGGTGCTTACACTGAAGGACCATTGGATGTTTGAGTGGACACTGGATAGGCAGGTAGCGGAGTTAATGGATGTTGAATAGACATGATGAGTGGGTAGATGGACGCACGGATGGACATTGTGTAATGGACAGTGGACATTGTATAGTGGATAGATGGGCGATGGGCCCTGAGTGAGTGCGTAAGTGGAGCAGTGAGTGCTGGGTGGACGGATGAGCCGGTGGACAGCTGACAGGTGGTGGCTGAGAGCTGGGTGCCAGCTGCTGAGTGAGTGAGTGCCGATCGGCGACCTCCTGACAATCTCCTGATCATTGGCCTTGACTTCCCGGCAGCATCCAACTCCAAACAGCCAATTCACATGGTTTATGTCCCGTCCCACCTCTACCACATGCTTTTTGAGCTCTTCAAGGTGAGGAGGCCGGGGATGGCGCTTTGTGGTGGGGTGGTGGTGGGGGGCAGCCCCCGGTGGGGTCTTTGTGGCTTTGTGGTGGCTTGGGGTGGGGACGGGGCAGTCAAGGCTGGGCTTCTCTCACTCTCCTCTCTTACCCCTTCCCTCCCCAGAATGCCATGCGAGCGACTGTGGAAAGTCATGAGTCTAGCCTCGTTCTCCCACCGGTCAAGGTCATGGTGGCCTTGGGTGAGGAGGATCTGTCCATCAAAGTATGTGGCCCTGGACTTCGGAGGCCAGAGAGCAGTGGTGGGGGTTGGTGGTGGGGCTTCCCTCCTGCCAGGAGATGGACTCTGGAGGACCCTGGGGGTTAGGAAACCCAGGAGAAGGTCAAGGGGCTGAGGGCGGAGCTACGTGGCATGCGGGTCTGGAGAGCCCCTGACGCGTCTCTTCTCCCCCAGATGAGTGACCGCGGCGGGGGTGTCCCCCTGAGGAAGATCGAACAGCTCTTCAGCTACATGTACTCCACAGCACCCACCCCCCAGCCCGGCACCGGGGGGACCCCGCTGGTGAGGCGGCTTCCTTCCAACTCCCTTCCTGCCTCCTGCAGGGTGCCCACCTGTCTCTTCGTCTCTTCTTTTCCAATTGTCACTCTTCCCCGTCTCTTGCTTCCTTCTCTCCTGTGGTCTCTTCATTCTCACGTGGCCGTGCGATGTCAGTCGCCTTGCCCAGCCTGCCCCACCTGTCTGGGGTGGGGGGTCTGTCTCTGACCTTCCCTTAGCTCTCCCCCTCTCCCCTCACAAAGTCCCTGATCATTGTTCACTAACATCTCCCTGTCCGTGCACCGGGGAGTAGAGCTGGGTCTGGGAGGTTGAGACTCAGAGGAGCCCGTGACCCGCCCGGACGCCCTCTCCCTGCCCTGCTAACTCCCCCCACCCCGACTGTGCCTCCTCAGCTTGCCTCCCTCCCCCCGACTGACCTCCCTCATCCCAGGGCTCCCCTCTTGCCTCAGAGCCTTCCCTCCTGGTGTCCTCTCACCCTGCCCTGCATGGTTCTGGGAACCCCCTGCACTCCATTCAGCGTACCCACCACTGCAGCACCAGCCTCCTCATCATGCTCCCTCCCTGCCCCCCCGCAGGCTGGCTTCGGGTACGGACTCCCCATTTCCCGCCTCTACGCCAAGTACTTCCAGGGGGACCTGCAGCTCTTCTCCATGGAAGGCTTCGGGACGGACGCCGTCATCTATCTCAAGGTGAGGGGCCCGGCCCTCGGCCAGCAGGGCTTGCTGACGGGTCAGGCAGGTTTGGCCTGCTGACAGATCTCTTTGCCGTCCCTGTGGCCCTTCCCCGATTCCAGACCGAGACTCAGAGCAGAGCTGCAGGCCCCAGGCCCCAGGCACTCCGGGGTTGGCAGGCACCGTCAGGGAGCTCACAGTCCGTGACTGAGACCCCTGTTCCGGGAACCCAGAGGGAAGGGGGAACCGTAGAGAATCTGTCACTCAGCTCAGGAGGAGATGCAGGCCCGGAGTTGGTGACCTGCAGGAACGCACCGCCCAGCCTCCTTGCTCTCCCTCCTTGACCCTTTAAGTGAGCAGCCGCCTTGAGTGGGCGGGAGCAAGACTCAGAGGGACAGGCCCTTTTGAGGGCCTTCCTGGGTCAAGGTTGGGAGTCTCAGCCAGGGTCTCGCAGTCAGAGGTTGCCGCAGCCCACCTGGGGGCCAGGGTGGCGTGCTGGGTGGGCAAAGCACAGGGCTGTGGGAGAGGCTGAGCCTGCTGCTCCCCAGGCCCTGTCCACGGACTCGGTGGAGCGCCTGCCCGTCTACAACAAGTCAGCCTGGCGCCACTACCAGACCATCCAGGAGGCGGGCGACTGGTGTGTGCCCAGCACGGAGCCCAAGAACACGTCCACGTACCGTGTCAGCTAGGAGTCGCTCCGCTCTTCCGCAGCTGCGAGGATGGACTGCCTGCCGACTCTGGGACCAGCCGCCGTGGTTACCCTCCCCACCCCACCCCAGGTGGGGGAGACTCCCCCTGGTGACCAGCTTCTGTCTCTGTGGAAGTCACTGCAGTGACCAGTCGGTGTTGGCCCCTAAGTGCCAATCTGTGTCTCTGTGGAGGTCCTCAGGTGGTCTCCCCAGTGTCCAATCTGTGTGAGCAGCCCCTGAGGGTCGGGGGATGTCTCCACCCTGCTGAGGTGGCCCAGAGATACGTTTCCACGGCAGTCCCCCTCTCTGAGACCAGCGCTGCCACTCTTCTGCCAGGGGTCCTGGGTCCCCCTCACTGCCCTCCACAGCCTGGTCTTCCAAACAGATGCCCCTACTTGCCTTACTCCCTTAGTGTGCCCAGGTACCCCAGGTACCCCAGCCCCGGTCCCATGCCAGTGTTAGTTACAGAGGCGCTCGGCGGGTGGGGAAAGGCATTGCACCCTTGGGCCCCAGGCAGGGACCTGGAGTGCCAGCCTCTCCCTCCTTGACCTCTGAACTTCAGGTCAAGATTAGGAGGGAGGGGGCAGTTCTTACCAGGACCTCACCCTTAAAGTGGAGGAACCTCGGAGGACCCAGAGGTACGCGCCCAGCCAGGCTGCTTGCAGCCCCGCAGGCGGCCCCCGCAGTGTGTCTGCAGCCCCCCAAGCCCTTCCAAGAATGTCCTCACGTGCACACACCCGCCTGCCCACCTCACATCCCCACCATCCACCTGAGCCCCAGACCCCATTTCCCACTGTGCCCGGACACGTGCGTGCATGGGGGGCCCTCTCCCTAGAATGCTTTGTGTACATAGCTAGTTTTATAGCCCCGAGTGCCCCCGTCCCTCCCCTTAGCACACAGGGGGGTTGAAGCTGTGTGCCCCTCCCAGTGGCTGTGATGGTGACAGTGACATCCACAGTAAAGAGGAGAGCCAATGAGCATTTGGCCTGGCTGCCTTCCTGGGGGTGGGGAGATCCACGACAAAAGACCAATGTAAGCGGACCACAGTCCCCGTGACCAGCGTGTGACCCGTGCGTGCTCCAGACACCCTGACGGGGCGAGACTCGGAGTGCCATGAGCGCAGCAGTAGCAGCCGCACAGCCGCCCGCTCAGGACAGACGCCCGACAGCACAGTCACCCCGCCACACTCGGGGCGCAGCGCAGCCCCGCCCCCAGCCAGCCCCTGCCTAGGACAGACAGACAGACAGATCACTGGCACGTCGTAAGTGTTTATTGAAAGAAACTCAGTACTGCCTCCCCCCTTCACATGCACGTGGGCACCCACCGGCTCCCGGTAGTTTCAAGGACCCCGGTGCCCTCCAACCTTCCCTCCAGCCCCTCCGCTGGGCCCGGGTCATGCCTGGTGCCCCCATATCTCAGTTTCCCTCTATCTCAGTCCCCCTCAAAAGCCCCTCTCCCAGCCCAGAAGGCAAAGAGGAAAGGGCTGGGTCTCAGGGACAGGGGTGGCCCTCAAGCCATAGGCCCTGGGCAGGAACGAGGGGAGTCAGCATGCACTGGGTCCTGTCTACTGCCCCAGGCTGATGGGAGGGCATGTGGAAGGGGACTTCTAATCAGAGGCCCCATTGGTAACTGGCCAGTGCTCCAGAAGCTGGGCTAGCTGCTGGCCAGCACCATACCTGATTCGCCCTCCCTACAAGGACGGATGCCACCCACAGGCTGCTGGGATAGCTCCATGCCCACAGGGGTTGGGCTGGCCCCACCCCTCCTTGTAGTCAGAGCTTGCAACTTCCAGTTCAGGAGCTCAATGAGACCTCGCTGGGGCCAGGGTGGGTGGGGGAGGGCCTGCAAACCCTTCCTGGATTTGCCTCTGCCTGACTCCGGTGAGGATTCCCCAGTTCAGGCCCGCACAGGCATCGGTGCATTGGTAGGGGGTGCTTTCATCTCTGCCAGCTCCTAAGTTTGTTCTGAGCCCAGGGGGGAGGGCTCAGGTGCCTTCTGAGGGCAGGAGGAGAGGTGGGCCTGCCTTAGTGGGCCAAGGCTTGGGCCTGACGGGGCCCCAGGAGGGGCAGGCCCGTAGGGATGTCGCCTCGCCATTGGGACCACAGGATGGGGAAGGGGAAAAGAAGGAGGGCTTCACCCTCCCTTCTCCTGAAGTCCTACAAAGACCGTGTGGGATGATCATGCTGCTTCCTCTGCTCTCCTGTTGAGGAGGCAGACCGGGAGTCTACTCTGAGTGCAGCGTGCTGCCAAGCCCACCAGCCTCCCCGGGAACAGAGCGGAGCTCTCCCCACACACAGCCACCCTGGAGAGCTGGAGAGGAACGTCTCCATCCGCCTACTCCTGCCGAGAGGCTCAGCCCCCTCTGAGCCCTGGGTCCCTGGCCCCATGGCAGGGCCTCTGGAGGGCTGACAGGCAGGCGTCCCAGCTCACTGCCCGCCCCCGCACCACTGTGACCCCAGGACAGAGCGTCAGACCGACCCAGGGGCCTCTGGGCTCCTGGACTGGCTTCAGCCCTCGCCCCTCTGCCCTCTTCCCATAATCCGCTACCTCCCCCAGGAACTCCGTGCCGGAAGTCCTCGAAATTGATTTATTACTGGGCCCTCTCCCTGGGGTCTCCCTTTCTGGGGGATCTTGGTCCAGGGTGACGAGGTGAGAGAGGGCAAGTACCCCTGAGAGCGTGGGGCCAGGCCAGCCCAAGCTGGGCGCCCGGGCCCTGCTTCCCTGGGGAGGCCTGTGCCCGCCGAGCCGGTAGCTGCCCGTGCCTGGGCGCCGTGCCCGCCTCACGTTCCTCTAGCTCTTCTTGGCCTCCTGCTCCCTGCGCCGGAGCTTCTCGCGCTGCCGTGCAGCCTTCTCCTGGGCCTTGCGCTCCTTCTCAGCAGCCGCCGCCAGTTCCTTCACCTTCCGCTTCACCAGCGCCCGGTCATGCGAGCTGCTGAGCCCCAGGCTCTGGGGGAGGAAACTGAGGGTGAGGGAAAGCACCCCAGGTCCTTTGTGCCCTGGCTGTACCCTCTCTGGAGCTCTACCTGCCCTCTCCTCCCAGGCTTGCCAATGGATCAGAACCCTCAGAGCAAGAATACTGAATGGGAGGAGCTGGGGGAGATGAGGGTGGAGAGTACCAGGCCCGTTACCACCACCGCCCACCATCCCCCACTTCCCATAATCCTTGGCTCCCATTCCTGTACTCACTTCAGTTTGGGCATACCCAGCCAACCCCCTGATGCCCAGAGATGGGGAGCAACTTGCCCAAAGTCACACAGCTGGTCACTTGGTGAGGCCCCTCCCCACTCCAGAGACTTCCTGGGGGGACTCTCCTCTCGACTCCTTCCCCAAGCAACCCAGCAGAGGGCGGAAACAGATCAGAAACCTTCTAGCACAGAGGCCAGGAGCCCCCTCTGATCCCCCCCCACCACTACCACCCCCCTCCAAGACTGAGAATCAGATAAGGTGATCCGGGGAGAGGCCTGCTTCCCATGATACCAGAGGACTCATCAGAGTCAAGAGACAGATGATATGAAATCCTAGAGGTCAAGGTCTGGAGCTTGAAGGTCAAACTGAAGAATTGGGCTTGAGTTTTAGATCAGACTGAGGACCCATGCCGGAGGACAGAGATTGGGCCAAGGGCCTTGCCCAGAGGTCAGAGGTCAGGGGCAGTGGCCTCAGAGGAGTGACAAGGTCAGGCTGAGGGGATCCCAGTCCTTGAAGGCTGCCTCGGGCTCCGGCCGGGCTGGGGCCCTCTCACCCTGACCCACCTTCAGTTTGCTTCCATCCAGCTGCAGCAGCTGCGGCCCGTCCACCTGCCGCGCGGCAAACTCAGCGGCGTACTGCTCCAGGTTGAGGCTGTGCAGCCACTGGCCCACCTGCTGACTGGTCCAGTGGTGGATCGTGGGGAGAGGCTCATCCAGGAACTGGGGAGGAGACAGAGGAAGGCGAGGGGGATGACGTGGCCTGTGGCCCGCACACGGGGCAGAGCCGGGGGCCGGAGCTCGCTCACCTCGTCCGAAGACTGGGACAGCGTGTGGTAGGGGTAGGAGCACTTGGCCTCCTGCCGGGGGCCGCTCGGGATCTTGGGGCTGCTGCTGGGGGGCGTGGAGTCGTCGCTCAGGGTGGATTCCTAGACAGGAGGGAGTGTGTGCGGCTGAGGAGAAAGCTTGCCCCCAGCCCAAGGGGGTACCCCCCATCCACCCACCCCAACCTGGATGGATGGAGATGAGGTCCTGGATTAGGCACTAGGAGCTGCACAGTGCACCCTGTGCGTGAGCCAGGAGCTGGGCAGGCACATATGACAGGGTGATTCGTGTGAGCATCAGGGGCTGAGGCCTCGGGGAGGACAAGCGGCCAGAACTGAGCCAGGCACAATCGTTAGCAGGAATGAAGGAGGTCTCAGACCAGGTGTCCACTCCTACAGGGAGTCAGCCAGGTTTCCCCCAGGCTGAGTCAGATGTGTCTGCCTTCTGCTTCTCCACCGTGGCCTCTGGTGCCCTGGCTGTAGATACCCAATTAGAGGTCCCTGTCCTCACTAGACTGTAAGCTCTCTGAGGGCCTGGGCTGCGTCCATTCCCTGGGGTACCCCCAGGGCCCAGCACAAGGGAAGGAAGAAAGGGGGGGGCATGCTGGGGAGGAGGAAAGAAGGCAGTCTTGGGTGAGAAGGGATCCCTTCTCCCCTGAATTCCTAGCATCCTGACCTCCTCTGCCCCAGCTGCACGTGGGGAACAGAACCATAGACCCAGCACTGGGCTGGGGAGTCTAGAGCCTGGCAACTCGTCCATGCGTGTGTGTGGGCAAGTCCCTTCTCCTCGGACAGGACATGGGGCTGGAACTGAGCCAGGCAGAAAAGTTAGCGGGAATGCAGGAGACCTCAGGCTGGGTATATGCTAGGGGAACCACAGTGCTCAGTGACGTGTGTTCAGTGGATGAAGCAATGAATGAATCAGCAGATGAACTGCTCAGAGTATGGACCTGTGAACAAGTGAATGCACAAACTCAGAGGTGGATAAATGGATGAATCACCGAATGGCTCAGCGGACAGACTGTCAGAATGCCTGGGCACCAGCCCAAGCCAGGCTGGAATATGCCCTCATGTCACCTGAGCCCAAGGGCCACTACTCAGACAAGAGGGCCACAGACTTACCTGAGAAGCTGACTTCTTAGGGCTGAAGCTCTCGTGTTTAGGGGAGCAGGCAGGGGAGGTGGTGCTGCCAGAGGACGCCGAGCCCTTGCCGCTGTCCGTGAACCAGGAAAAGGGCAGGAACGGGGAGCCCCCTGACCTGCTGGACCCCTCCACCGACTCCCTGTGGACAGAGCGCCCTGCATGGGTGTGGGCACTGAGGGGAGGGCCAGGCCCTCGGGGACTCAAGGGTGGAAGCTGGGCTGAGGTGCTCGCCGTGAGCGCCTCTTACCTGCTGCCCATGGACAGGCGGTTGCTGCCCTTCTCCTTCCGGCTCTTGCTAGTGGATGCTCGGCGTAAGGTGACCCTGTGGGGAGGGGAGGGGTAGTGGGGCAGTGCTGCCCACTGCACTACCCTGCACCCCTCCCTGCACAGCTCCAAGCCTGTGGTTCTGGCTTCTCCTGCACTCACCCCAGGTCCAGGAACTTCCGGCGAGTCTTCTTGTCCAGGCCAATGGTGGGGCTGGCAGGCTCAGGTGGGCTGGCATCTCGGCTGTCATCTTTTGGGGAAGAGGGAAGGAAACGGCCTGTGAAATAGCCTCCTTCAGTAGCCAGGGTAGGGTGGGAGAAATTCTCTTCACTTAGAACCATGCAACCTGGCCCTGGTGCCCTTCACCAGCTGTGTGACCTAGGACACGTCACTTTAACTCTCTGAGCTTCCTTCATCTCAAATATGGGGATAATAGCACCTGCCTCTCTCACGGGACCTACTGGGATGTTGATGAAAGCCCTAAACAAACCATAAACCACTCTGAAAAGGGAAGGACCACTGCTACTGAGTGTTAATTTTATCTCGGCTAGCTTCTAACCAGCCTTCCAACCTGTTGGTTGTCACATGTCACTTCCTCGGGGAAGCCTTCCAGGGTGCTCTCAACTAGGTCTTTTCACCCTTATATGTGCTTCCCCACCACCGTGCTCTTTTCTCACACAGCACTTATTACAGCTTGTAACTATACGTTTAATTAAGGGATGAACTGATTGCTTCCCCGGCCCCCACTGTAAGGAATTATTTCATTGTTCCTCCAGGGAACTACAGGCCCCCTGAGAATGAGAACTGCATCTGTTTGCTCGCTTATGTGCCGAGTGCCCAGCAGTGCCTGGCACATCGTAGGCGTTCAGTAGATGAATGAATGAAGCGCGGTGTTAACGCCCCGCAAGCGACCACGTCCCTCTAGGTCCCGCCCTGCGCTTCGGTGCCGCCGCAGTCCCCGCGCGCACCAGCAGGGGGCACCGGGTGGGCCGCGCTCACCTTCGCTGTGCGGCTCTGCTCGCAGGTGGCGGCGTACAAAGCTGGGCGAGCTGTCGGAGGAGGGCGCCGAGCGAGGTGGAGAGCTGGAGGCGGCGGCCAGGCCCTCGTGCGAAGCGGCGTTGTGCAGTGGCCGGTAGCGGGTGAGCGGCGAGGGTGGTGGCTCGTCTTCGTCTAGGCTGCGCCGCAGCCCCGGAGGATCCAGGCAGAACGAGCCCACAGCCGGAGACCCCGGACTCGAGTGCAAAGGCGAGCGCAGCCGGTGCAGGGGGCTCCCGCAGCCGTCGGTCACCTACGCGAGGGGGCAGCCGCTCACTGCCATCCTTCCTCCCCGCCTCCCGGAGGGGCTGGGAGCCCTGTTCACCCAGTAAGCGGCAAGGGAGCCTCCGGAGGCATGGAGCCCAGACTCCTGGTCTTTCTGGGAACTGGAAGGAGGGTTTCCCCGTGTGAGGTAGAGTGGTGGCTGGGCAGTGAATGGTGGGAAAATCGGGGGCTTTCAGCCACAGAGGCTGGGATTGAATCCCACCTCTTTTACTGTGTGGCTTTGTTTACGGAAACCCTAAGCCTCAGTTTTCTCATCTGTAACATGGGGATGATAATCCCTTCCGCGAGAGGATGAAATGAGCCAGAAGTGAAAGCAGCTGAAGTTTGTGAGCATCATGATGTCAGAAGCCTGGGGGGCGGGAGTGGTTTCCCTGGAAGAGCCATTTGGAGGGACTGCCCAGGGGCAAGAAGAGTGCGTGGGGTATGTGTGATTGCGTGGGTTGCCCCAACCTTGCCTCCAGGCCCATCGGAGCCTTCGCCATCCTCCGCAGAGCTGGCGCTGTCCCGGAGCCTGGAGCGGGAAGGCCGATGTCTGCGGCCCTTGGCCAGCAGCTGGGCCCGGGCTTTGTGTAAACTGCTGTCCAGTCTGACAGTCTCTGGCACGGCCAAGTCCAGGTCTACGAACCGGGTGAAGGGGGCAGAGAACAGACACATGAGGTCAGCAAGCCCAGAGGCCCACCGGCCACGTGCGCGCACACCCCAGACACTCCCCGGATGTCTCCGAGTGCCGGGCACTGGGAGTGCAGCTGAAATGGGAAGCAGGGTCTCTCCGTCTCCAGGGAGGCAGACATGTCAGCACAGAGATACGGCAGTGTGATGGGACCTCTCCCAGGCCCAGAGGGGGAACAGGACCACCCTGTGTTGATGGGCCGGAGAAGGACACGCCGCAGTTGGGTCTTAAGGTCTGGGTGGGAGCTTATGCGAGTGGAGGTTAGCAAGACTGGGAAGTAGGGAAGCAGGGCAAAGGGGATGTCCCAGGGCAATTGGAGGGTAGGTTTGTGGAGGGAAGAGCTGGGGGATGAGGCTGGAGAGATCACGGAGATAAGGGCTACCGCTGAAGAAGTGCCTCCTATGCTCCAGACAATGTATACATATATCACCTTGTCTACTCAAACCCAGCAGACTAGGGACAGTTATGCATATTTTAGAGCTGAGCAAACTGAGGCTCAGAGAGGTTAAGCCTCTTGTCTGAAGCCACCAGCTAGCAATTGTCTGGGATTTGAGCTTGGCTAGTCTGGCTCCAGGGACTGGCCCCGCTGGAGACATTGGCTTGCTGTGCCATGCTCACATGCTCAGGGTCACACTCAGAGAAGCACTATTGAGCACCTGAAGGGCTCTCCCTTGAATGGAGTGGAGGGATTCCCTCTCCCCTCACCCCCACCATACACACACCCAGGCCGGTGGCAGTGGCAGGGAGGAAAACCCTCAGTCCCCTGAGGCCTGTGTCTCCTGTCCTGGGGCCCGTGGCCCAGGGCTAGATCTGGGATGAGGACATGGAGGGACAGTGGGCAAACCCCACCGCTCCTGGTTTCCTGAGCCCTCACCGTGCACGGGGTCTCCAGGCAGAAAGGGTTCTTCCCAGACTCCAGCTTGGGTTAAGACCTTCCTTCCCCACCCCACTCCCAGTGATCTCGGGGACCCCCACCCCATCACCCATGCCCATTCTGTGTTGCCTGCTCCTCCTCTGGTCCGCAGATACCCCCTAAGCCACCCCAGTGGCTCTCCTGGTTTAACTACTGTCCATGTCTATTTCCAGCCCTGACCCCTCCCTCCCCTGAAGTCCAAGCCTGGCACCTCAACACCTGCCAGGGAACTTGTCATATCGAGGCACCCAGAACCTAAAACTCAACCCATCACCTTGCCTCAAACTGGCCTCTCCTCTGTTCCCTGCTTCAGAGGAAGGCCCCACCCTCCACCCAGCCACCCCATTCAGACAGCTCTAAGCTGCCCTGCTCCCCCATAGCCCCAGACCCCGTTGGTCATTCATGTGTCCAGCTGCCTACTTGACATCTCCACTTAGATGTCCAATGGGCGTCTTCAACGTGCCTGCCAAAGCTGGACGCCCCACCCCCAGCTGCTCTTCCAGGCTGCCCAGCTCAGCAAACGGCGGCTTCATCCTCGCAGTTGCCCGGACCAAACCCCCGGAGTCATCGCTGGCTCCTCTTTCTCCCTCCCGCCCGACAGACCGATCTGATCCATCCACAGTTCCTGTTAGCGCTGCTTCTGAAATATAGCTAGATGTACTGAAATATTTATGGTGAAATGACAAGATGTTTTGGATTCGGTTCAAAATAATCCAGGGGAAGAGAGGTGAGCGTGCGAGGGAACGGAGACGGAACGGGACTGGCCGGGAGCTGACGACGGTTAAGGCTGAGTGACCAGGGCGTGTGTACGGTGGCGGGCGAGGGCTACTCTCCCCACTTCTGATTTCCCACACGAAAATATTGTTCGTCTGTGTCTGTGTTATTCTCACGCATGAATATGCACGGGGAGGGGGAGGAGGGGAGAAGGAGGGGAGGAGAGAAGCAGGAAGGTGGGGAGAAGAGGGGAGGGGAGGGGGCATGAGAAAGAACTCACAGCCTGTCTAGGTCACCGTCACCTCTTGCCTCACAGCTGGTATTCCCCCCTCCTCCTTTTCCCATTTACAGTCTATTTCCAACACAGCGGCCAGAGTGATCCTAATGAAACCCGTCAGCTGGGGTCACTCCTCGGTTCAGAACCCCCCAGGGACTTCCGTCTCTCTCTCAGAGTAAGAACCCAAGTCTCCCGGTGGCCTACAGGTCGAGTCTGGGCCGCCTTCTGAGCTTCTGCTGCTCTTCCGAGCCCTCCCTCCACTCCAGCTGTGAGGCCTCCTGGCTCTTCCTCCTGCAAGCCTGACCCGCACCTCAGGACCTTTGCACGTCCCCCTCCTGTCCTGTAAGACTCCAGCCACAGATTTCTGCACAGTCCTCCCCAAACTTCCTTCAGGTCTTGGCTGAAATACTTTCATTGGTGACTTCCCTGACCAGCCAACTTACAATACGCCCAGAACCTCCGCACCTGTTTCTCCTCTGTCATTTCTCATTCCTTAGCTCATTAGCTATTTTACTTACTGTGTTGTCTCTCTCCCACCCTCTAGAATGTCAGCTCCACTAGGGCAGATGGCTCTAGTTTGTTCACCGCTCTAACACAGGCGTAGAGCAGTGCCTGGTACACAGTGGTTAGTAAAGGTTATTTTAATGAAAGAACAGATTTGCCTGCTCACATCCCTGGAACCCGGCCTCTCCTCTCCAGTAGGACTGAACGGCCTCAGCTCAGGCCTGCACCAGCTGCCCAGCCCGCCTTGCCCTCCCCCATCCCTACCCTCCAGAGCATGGCCTCAGCATCAGTCCGTTCTTAGTGTCCTGCTCCCAGTGTGTGCCAGGCTCTGTCCTGCCTCCCTACCCACTCTCCTGAAGCTAGAAGAAACTTCCTAAAGCACATTCCTGACTGTGTTTCATACTCTCCAGCTTTCAAACCCCCCAGCAGAGGGTCAGGGGTCAGGGGTGAGGAGCAGTAGTCCCAACGTCAAGTTGGAGCCCCTAAGCCCTCCACTTAAGCCCTGAGAGGCCCACACCCTCCCGTGGGGCCCACATTCCCTCCTCTGCACAGCACGCTCTTAGATGCGCGCCTCCGTTAAGAGCAGAAGCCCTGGAGCCAGCCGGCCTGGGCGGAATCCAGTTCTGCCACTTGCTGCCTTACATTTAGCTAACAGCTTCCTTATCCATAAAGTGGGGTCATCATAGCAGTTCCGTCCTTACAGGGCTGTTGCGAGCACTAAGAAAGATAACCCACAAAAAGTGCTTCGCTGTAATGCCTGCGACTTGGCAAGTGCGCCCAGGCACTGGCTGCCGGTGGCGACAGTGGGAATGGCAGGAAACCGCCTGGATACCCGCCTCTACCTTCGTTTCCGCCTCCTTCCCTGTGTTCCTGCTGCTCCCTCTGCTCCGTCACTCTCCCCCCACCCCCCTTGTTTGGCCCTCAACTCCAACCTGTCACCTCGTCACCTCCCCCAACTCTGGACAGCCACATCTCCTCGGGCTCGCCCCTCTGATCTGGAGAATGAGTGCCCCGCGCCAGTCTGCACAGCAGAGGCTGGCACCCTTGGCTGTCCACCGGGTACCCTGAGGGCCTGGCGCAGGGCCTGGCAGAGGGTAGGTGCTCAGTAGGTGCCTGACAGATTGAAGCAGGGCCGCACTGCCATGGACTCCAGACACACACGGGTGCCCGGCGAGGGTCACGACGAGGGTCACGACGAGCACGCGCCCGAGTCCCATCCCATGCCACATTCTCGTCCTCGGCACAGCACTCCTCCCACCTGACATTTCCTTGCTTAGTCAAGAGTGCCGAGTGCCGTAGTGCCGGCCCCCTGCGGGCCCCTGTGCTAGAATTCAAGCTCCGTGATGGCAGTGACTGTGCCTGGCTCGTTCCGTGCTGTCTCCCCAGGGCCTAGGACAGAGGGGCGCACAACAGAAGCTCTGATGTTTGTCCAATGGATGAAGAGGACAAGGAGTGACTGCGGGGAGCTGCTGTTTCAGACGAGGTAGCCAGGCCGAGGCCCGGGAGACAAGAAGGAGCCAAGCTTGTAGAAAGAACAAGAAGGGACCATGTGGTCATGGGCCGGGAGTGTGGAGGGTCAGCAGGGGCCGGTGCAGCCAGCAAGGGGAGGAGACCGGCCTGGCTGAGGGGGAGGGCGGCCAGACAGGCAGGTGTCCGGGGGCAGCTGGCAGTGGCGTGGACAGGGGAGCAGTCCTGCCAGAGGCCTGCTGTCTTGCACTCCCGGGTGGACCCCACTGCTCTGGCCCCTCAGCCGCCTCTGCTTCCGGTCTGCTGTTTCCAGGCCCTGGGGCCGAGCCGGGGAGGGGGGACTTCTGCCCCCTGACACAGAATCTCCAGGCACTGCCTGGAGGCAGCGAGGAGTGAGGACGGAGGGCTGACGACAGAACAGTGGCCATCACTTCCTCGGTTCTCACTGTGCTGGGCACCAGTCTTCACAAGTGCCAGCTCACCCAAACCTGCCCACGGCCCTGTGAGGAAGAGGCCCCGGAATCCCCGGGCAGCCTCCATGTGGCTGGCGAAGAGCGGGCCGGGGCTGCAGGCAGCCTGGCTGCAGGGGCCCAGGGTGTAACTACCAAGCCCCCGCTACCTCCTCTGAGTCCCAGGTGGGGGTGACCTCTGAGCCCAAATCCTCGCTTTACAGGTGGGGAAACTGAGGCTGGGAGAGGAAAGGTTTGGCCCAGGGTGCAGAGGTCATTAAGGCAGTGCTCCTGCCACTCTGGAGGAGGTGCTAGGACCGAACTGGTGCCTGGCCACCCCAAATTACACAGTGGTCGTCTCTCTACTCTTGACTTCCCATAATAAAATGTTGCTCCTGCGTGTCTGCGTCACACAGACTCACACATGCGCACACTATGGGGAGAACGAGGAGGGCCGGGGAGAAGGGCCCTTTTCTCCTGACTCTGGGCCACCGGGACCCTGGTCATCGTACCTGGGAGCATCTAGGGAGCAAGGTGGGGCCAGTCTCTCTCCAGCCCCTTGGTCTGCCAGGCCCCCCTCACCCACTTCCGTCCTTCCCTGTTCCCTGCGGACCCCTCCTCCCCACTCCCACCAGGAGTTCCTCTGTCCCAGGGCAGTGGGAAATCTTGAATATTTAATTGCCTTTCTCATCAGGAAGCAGGCAGGGCTGGCGCTGCTACCTCAGCAGGTCGGGGAGAAGGAAAACAGGAAGGGGTGGGTCGGGACGAGGGGGAATGGAGGCCGAAAAGCCCCACAAAGCGGAGCTCATCTGTGTCAGGCCAGAGGTCAGGCCAGGCCTGTGTGGAGAGAGAGAGCGGCTCAGAGCCTGAGAGGCCCAGCGGCACTTCACAGTTCACGACTGGGGGAGTCCCAGAGGCCAGCCCTGCACCCCGCAGGCCCCAGGGAGGGTGAGTGGAAAGCAGCGATCCCCAGGAGCTCCTGGGGAGCCGGGAGGAGGCAGCAGTTCCTGGCATCGCCAGGGCATGCAGTGGAGCCAGGGGAGAATGAGGGGAGCAGCGGAGGGGGAGGAGCAAAGGGGAAGGAAAGTGGAGGTGAATAGGGGAGGAGAAGCTGGGAGGCCCTGTGGCTTCCACATGCAGGAGCCCCTCAAGGTCATGCACACAGGGTGAGTCCCGAAAGCCGCACACACGTTACAGGCTTTAGGCGCTTCTTTCTGTCTCCTCCAGGTCCCTCCATGTTGCTTTGCTCACTGACTCCTCCACCCAATCCAGCTGGGAAACAGCCTCTCTACCCCACTGCATGCTGGGAACTATGCCCGGCCTGAAGGTTTTTCTCCAATCCAGGGCGCAGGCAGGTGTGTTGTGCCTGCACCTCAGCGCGTGCTGAGGCTGAGTGCGTGTCATGTATTTGATTTCTCTGCACGGCCCTGCCGACGGAGGTTCCTTATTTATGCAACTGAAAAGTATCTGTCACGGGTGCTGGGGGACACAGGTGGCCAGCACGGAGGCTGAGAGCAGGGAGTCGGGCAGTCTGGAGTCCCAGCTCTGCCACTCACCTGCTGTGTCGTCTTTGAATCAAGTCCCACCAGCACTCAGTGCGCGGGGCTCCCTGCCTGTGAAGCAGGCACGCCTCTTCGCGTGACTGTGGGGACTCGATGGGACAGTGCATGTGAGGTGGGGGTGCAGCCTAGTACCTGGCACTAGACGGGCACCTAATAAACGGGGATTCTTGCCAACATCGCTGCTGTTGTCACTGTCCTGTCACTCAGACAGTTGTGACAAAGAATCAGGCTGGAAGACCCCAGCACACGTGTACACTAAAGTCCCTGAGGGACTCCTGCCTCCCCCCTCCCGCAGCACCAAACAGAACTTACCAAAAACCTCATCGGCAGGTTCTCGGAGCTTTGAAGAAGCCATGACTCCAGAGAGCTGGGAAGGATAAGGTGGGGGGAGAGAGAGAGAGAGCAGGTGAGAGGGTCAGGTGGGTGGAGGCCAGGAGCGGGTCCTGGCCTCTGGCCCCTCACCTTCCCTCAGGACTCTTCCTCCAGCCCTTGGGAGAGGCGCTCTCTGAACTGCAGCCCGGGTCGTGGAGGCTGCGGCAGGAGGGGAAGCAGAGGGCAGGGGCAGAGGCAGGTCCGGGGTGCAGACCGGGCTGAGTCCTGCAGCCTGGGCCCATCTGATGTGCTGTGTGCCTCCACGTGGGTCACTGACCTGTTCCCCGCCACTCTCCTGGGCCTTTAGGTTCCCAGAGAACCTTTAATCATCGTATATTATCCCACAGAACATGTGGGAGAATTCTTGGAGTTTTGTAAATCCAATCCTCCCGTTTTACAAATAAAGAAATGTGAGCATGACTGGCTGAAGGCCACATAACAAGTCAATGGCCATATCAGGACCAGGACTCAGGTTCTTACATCCGTCCGTCTTCACTACTGCTCCCCCATCCCTCTCCTTGGGCATCCATCCATCCATCCATCCATCTTGGCATCCATCAGTTCATGCCATCCGCCCACCCATCTCTTGGTCCATCACCCAGTCGTGCTCCCCCTACGCCCATCACGGGTTTGCTCCCCACTTGCCTTCCTGAGCACCGAGCTGTTCAGGAAGCTGGCGCCGTCAGCAACAGAGCCCCTGTTCCCGACAAACTCTCTGTTCTACACGCACTCACACTCACAGATGCCGGAGGGTATGCGGTATGCTCACAGCACAACAGTGGACAGCCAAATCCCTGTGATGCATCCAGGATGTTCTCGGAAGAAGTGTGGGTGGGTAGGAGGGTTGGTTTTGTGTTTTTGGTGGGAAGCAAGGAGGAGGGCAGGTGGGGAAGCGGGGTGCATGCGGCTGAAACAGTTGGGGCGGGCTTCCTAGCAGATACGGGGTTGGAGCAGCCAAAACCAAGGCCTGGCTGTCAGAGGGGCAGGAGAACACCCGGTGGAGGGAGAGTGAGAGAGCTCTGGGGCAGGGACACACTGCATTGCTAGGACACGGTCTTCAGTTAGTCCTGCCTCTCAGGTCTGTGTGCGAAGGGCAGGGCACTGGGCTGGACCATGCAATGGCCTGGCCGTGTAGGAAAGCCACACGCCTGTTGGGGTCTTTTCCAACTCCCTGTAATTACACGGACGTCATTTCACTGGTTCTGAGGATTCTCAGTATCTCCCCTTTACAGAAGGAACCAAGATGCAGGAGATAATGGGCAGACCTCAACGGTGACCCTGGTCTCCTGCCCCTCAGCCTTATCCGGGGTGATGATCTGCATTTTTGGTGGGTGCTGTTCAGGAAAGGACCCCGAGGGGAGAAAGGGAGAGGGAGGGGAGCTGGTGCATGATGGCTAGACCCGGGAGAAGCAGGCTGCATGGATGCGTGGGGCTGCCAATAGGAAATGAGGTGTCAGAAGGACGCAGAGACATGGGCCCTTCAAGAACCCTCCTGCCATTTTTTAACTCTGGGTGTGAGCAGCAAAGAAGTTTTGGGGCCTCTCTTCCTGTCCTGCGGGGCCAGATGGGAAAGGAGCCTGCCCCTAAGAAGAGACCAAAGTGCCTCATTCAATCACAAAGCTTCATCTGACCAGGGCACAGCTGCCACCACCTCCAGAAAGCTGTCCTAGATAGCCCTCCCTCCTCTCATTTGTCTTCATAATTTCTAAACCCACCCTTCCCCAACCACTGGGAAATGAGGAATGTTTCACGCTTTATCCATTCCCTAACTGGGTCAGGTCTCCCCCATATCAGATGGGAGCTCCCCAAGGAGGGGAGGGGCAATGTTCCCCACCAGACAGGGGACTCTCTGGAGATCAGGGTGGAGGCTCCCCGAGGGCAGCTGTGGTGAGCTCTCTCTCAGACAATGGGGAAAACCTGCGTGTCCTTCATTCGAGGTCCCGTCCAGGGTGGAGACTTCCTGTGAAAGGAGTCCTCTCTCAGGTGCCCTCTGGGGCGGGCTGGGGCCTCCGGCTCACACCTGAGCCCAGTCCACCCTGATTCAGCACAAACTGCTTTCTCTCCCTTCCCTTCAACAAGTACCTCCCTGGGGTGTGTGTGCGTGTGTTGGGTGGGGGGGTCCTCCTTACTCTGGGAAGCAGGACTTCCAGGAGACCACCAGGCCCCTCCCACCCAACCCCCTCATTCCCAAACTGAGCCATCACACTCCTGCACACACACACACACACACACACACACACACACGCAGGTAACTTCCACGGGGTGGAAATGAACCTGTCCCTCTGCACAAAGTCTGGGCTCGGATTTGACTGGGCTACTCCTTCCAACTCCCAGAGGAGGAGCACCCATGACCTTTGACCCTTCCCTGGGAGAAAGAGAGACAGGGGAGCTCGAAGCTTCCTGGAACCCAGGGGAAGGAGAAAGAGAGGAAGGGGCGCAGCCTTGGAGAGAGAACGGGTAGTGGAAGCAGAGACAGACAGGTTGGAGGAAGCAGGGCGGGTGTCAGTTAGAGCCGCAGGAAAAAGGAAGAAAGGGCACGCGAGAGAGGAGACGGAGAGAGGGGCCGGGGAGAGCGGGAGCGAGCGGGAGGGCCACCGGCGGCGCTGAGTGAGGCCCGAGGGAGGGAGCGAAGAGCGAGGGAGACCGCTGCCTGGAGAGGGGCGGCCCCCAGAGAGGAGACGAGAGGGAAGGAGCTCTGGGAGAGCAGAAACGGGCCAAGAGAGAAGTGCAGCAGGGAAAGGCTGGGGAAGAATGGCCGGGAGCGGGGGCTCGGGGCAGGGGGAAGCAGTTGTGCAGCTACAGAGCGCGGAGCCCCTCTCCCATAGGCCCAGGCTCGGTCGGGGCTTCCGGCCAGCGTCGGTTTCCCCACCCCCACCTCACCCATCAGCCCAGCGCCGCCGGACAGGGGGAGGGGGTGGGGGTGGAGAGCAGGGCACCCACTGCACTCCCAGGGCCCCTGGGCCCCCACCCCCCACGGCATCAGAGCCTCACGGCCAGTTTCTTTCCGATCCATCAGTCCAACTCCGCGCTGGGCGAGAAAGAGTTAAGCCCGCTCCCCCTCCTCCCACACCAGTTTTTTAAATGAATTTATCCGGGTGGCGGGCGGGAGGGAGAGGATTAGGGACACAAATCCGATCTCCGCCCCCTCCCCTGACAGCCCAGCACCCTAGCTCCCAGCAGCCCCCTAAGGGGCAGGGGGAGAAAGGCCCTAGTGGCTTCACTCCATCCAACCTGACTCGGGGTCCCACAGCGAGCCCGAGTACGCTCCCGGCTCCGCTTCTCCGTCCACCCCCGGGCCCTTGAGGTCCCGGCCCCTCACCTCCAGCATCAGTCATCTTCAGCGTCCGGCACCTAAGGAAACCCTCGGGCCCATGGTGCTCCGGGCGGGGGCCGGGCGGGAGAGGGGCGGGGGCCGTCACCCCGGCCGCGGGGGACTCCGGGCTGGCTCGATCCGCTCCATCCTGGGAGTGGGGTGGGGGTTGGCAAGGAGGGCCCGGGAGCTGGAGGGAGGGGGGTGTTTTGTGGGAGAGATGGAGGTTTGTAGGAAGCAGGAGGCGCGGGTGGGGCTGGACCAGAAGACCTGACGGGAGGATGCTCCGTGCGTGTGCGTGAGTGTTGTGTGCGTGTGTTGTGTGCGCGCGTGTGTGTGTGTGAGAGAGAGAGAGAAGGGGGAGAGGGAGAGAGAGGGAGAGAGAGGGAGAGAGAGGGGGAGAGAGGGAGAGAGAGGGAGAGAGAGGGAGAGAGAGAGAGGGAGAGAGCACCACCTCCCCGCCCCGCCCCCTAGGCCCCACCGGACGCGGGTCCCCGCCTCCCAGGCCGCTGCATGTAGCGTCGCGCCAGCGGGGGTCCTCGGGGGTCCCCCGGAAGGGGCGATGCGGGGGCGCGTGGCGGGGGCGCGTGGCGGGGGCGCGTGGCGGGGAGGCCGGGAGCCCGGGAGACAAAGAGAGGGAGGAGGGGGGAGCGGAGGGAGGGATCGGAGGCAGAGCGCGCGGAGGGACGGAAGCGGCCCGCGTCGCGTCGCAGCCAGGCGAGGGGATCCCGAGTTGTTGCTACTTCTCAGCCCGCGGGAGTTGGGGCTGGGGGAGCGGCCCCTCGCTAGAACCCACGGGGCTTCCACTTTCTCTGCCAGGCCCGTGAGGGCTCCTGATTCAACCACTCAACAGACATTCACCGAATGGCCGTTTGCGCGGAGGCCCGAGGGGCGGCGGGGAACAGAACCCACTGGGTCCCGGCCATCGGGGCTCCCGGAGTAGTCACGGGGAGAGGCGGGTGGGGAGGTCCTCACAAGCCCGGGGGCTACTAGGCCTAGTTCACCGAGGAAACCTCAGCGCTGGGAGAGCGCACGGGATGGGTTGCGGTGGGGGCAGAGGGGGCGCTGGGCCTGACCAGGGGGGCGGGGGGAGGGGGTGGGGGGGGGGTGGAGGTGGTCGGGAAGGATTCCTTGAGGAGACGATGTGGCAGCTACACCTGCAGACCAGGGCGGGGTGGAAGTCCTAGTGGGGCGTGAGGGGTAGGGGGAGAGACCATGAGTGAGACCGCAGAGATGGGGGTGAAGGGGTGGACAGAGGGCCTACACTTCATCCTGAGCCTTAGGGAAAGAAGTAGCAGAGGGAGGGGCTCAGACTTGCACTTGAGCAGGAACGCTGGGCTCCTCTGTGCAGATGGGATCAGAGAGGGGGCAGCCCAAAGGCAGGGACATCCCTCCTGAGGCTGCTCTGGGAGGATGACAGTGCCATTCAGGGTGTAGGAGTGAAGAGACTGATAGCACGTGGGGCCTGGCTGGCCACTGAGGAGGAGGAGGGGTCTGGGACAGACTGCAGGGCTGGGCCCTGGAGTGGAACTGACAGGGGCGAGGGGATGAGAGGGATGAGGTCAGACTTGGACCTGGTGAGCTGGAGGTGGAGGCAGGCCAGCTGGGAGAGAGAATGTAAAAATCAACAACTAGCTACCATACTGGGATGGCTGGGGGCGCGCTCGGCCAGCAGTGTCCTCAGCACTTTCCTCGGATTAAAAATGAGACAGGTGTTCCTATCAGCCCCGTGTGAAGAGGGGAAACAGACTTAGCAGTGGTGAGGCTGGACTGAGGTCCACAGCTCGGGAGGAGGGTGTGGCCCATAGGAAGGGTTCCCCAGCAGCCAGTGCCTCTGCAGTCGCGGGTCTCCGAGGGGCTGTACGAGGTGGCCGCTGAACCAGGATGGTCTTGGGTCTTGTAAAGACAGAATTAATAACTTTAGGGACTGCAGGTGTCTAAGGAGATCTGTGGGAGCTTGTGGGGGGTGTCTCTGGGTGTCTTCAGCATCTGCTGGCAGCCATGGGGTGCTGGTTAGATTGTGGAGATCTGGGGAGGGGGTGGTGACTCTGGTGACAGCCTATCAGGGCTATGCCTGGGGTCTTTATAGAGGGCATGGCTTGCAGGGATCTGGTGAGATCTGGGTGGTAGGCCGGAGTGGGGAGATGATAAGTATGTAATGTCAGTACTGGGGGTGGGGGTGGGGGTCTTCTGTGGGAAGGGGTCTGCCAGGCTATGGGACTTGGGAGGACCCCCTATTATTCCTAGTAATGCCTGAGCTTCTGGGAGTTAAGAAAATCCTTATCTGATTTCCCTCCCCTATGGCAGGTGTTGGAGTTGTGGCACACCTGCCCTGCCTCCTAAGAACTAGGCAGGCGACAGGGTGGGCAGGTGACAGTGCTCATAGCCGCTTGACCACACAGCCCCAGACGTGGACATATCTCATGGGCTAGTCACATCTCAGGCCTGAGAAACTCAGCAAAATCACACACAGCACCCTCAGCCACACACCGCACTTAGGCTCAGACATTGGTTGCGGGGACTCCTTGGCCCACCTTTTAGAACATACAGTGTGCAGGCCCCTCCCCTAATACACAGGACAGGGGAGGGTGGCGGGATCCCAGCAGCAGGATGCTCAACCCCAGTTAGACCAGCAGAAGGCCTCACCACAGCCCCCAGATCTGCCTCCCCCCCCAGGAAGGTCCAGCCACTTCACCTCTGGGGACTTCTTGGTTTCCTGAGCAGGGCCCCAGTGACCTCTAACTTTGGAGCCAACACCTGTGACCTTGTGGTCTGGTGGCCTCTGATCCTGGGATTCAGTCACATGGATCTATCTTCCCAGGAGTGTTCCAAGGATAATCCACTTGGAGAGGCATGGCCATCAACCTCAGGTTTCCAGGTGCCCTCTGGTGGGTGACAGGACTGGGTGGGTCCTATATGGCCCTGAGGGGCAGAACTGGGATGTTTGAGAGGAAGCTATGGGAAACCAGAATCTGGTGACATGAGGAAGACTTGTGTGACAGAGCCATCCACAAGGATGCTTCAGGAGGTGACTGTCACTGGGAGTTATGGTGGAGGCCACTCATCTCGAGTGTTGTTAGGGACCCGCCAAGGTGGTCTTGAAGGGTCCTGATGTCGGGACTTCCATTAGGGCAAAGGGGAACACGATCACCTCCTTGGGGTTCAGGCCGATGAACACGAGTGCCCTGTACTTTAGTTCTCACACGTGTGCCCACCAGCGTGCAGAGAGCCCTGTGCTGGGAATGGCCACGCTTGCCCTCTCACCTCTTTGGGACTTCGCCAAGGTTTGTCCCCCAGCTGCCACCTCCTAGAAACCTTAGGTTCTTCAGGGTGTCTTATAAGGGAGGGGGCTGGGCTTCCCCACCAGGTTAGAGGATTTCTCCATGGAAGGACTTGGGGTTCACCTTACCACATCTAATCCACCCTGGAATTCCATCAGAGGCCATGAAAAAGGAGGAAGGCAGTGCACCTAAGGAACTCTCTGGAAACCCCAGTGCTGCCCAGTTGGAATGGATAAAGCATGGGTGCTGATGGAGGCCATGGTGGTAGAGGGTGTGTGCGTGAACCGGGATCTGAGAATCACTGGAGGTGGGAGGGGACCATTGGGTACATACAGACTGGCATCTGCCCCTCCCTCCACCCCCCTCCTGCGAATCAAGAAACCAGGCAGCGAGGCTCTGGGGGCTGCTTTTATGGGGACAACCTGACAGAGGGCATGGTCCGTACAAAACCGGGAACAATACATACATATATATATTATATACAGAGACGCAGTCCTGCGGAGGGCGGGACGGGGATAGCCACCAGCCTGAGAAACCGGAAGCGCCCGCGGCCCCACCACCTGGCCCCGCCCCCTCCATCTGCCTGGGCGTAGACTTGCGCGGGGCCGGGGCACTGAGACAGCCAGCTCTTTCAGGGGGTAGGGAAACGGCTGGGGACAGGAAGGGGGAGGGAAGAAATACTGATCGATGGCATGGTCTATTTATAGGGGACGAGGAGAAGCGAAACGGATGGGACAGGGGGTTGTCTGTTTAAAAAATGAACAAAAACCCAGGCTGGGGCAAGGGCATCAGAAAGGGGCAAAACTAGAGATGGGTTCTGAAAGGGGAGGGGACCTGGGCAGGGGTCTCACCTCCCTTGGTCCAAGCCCCAATTTGGGGTTAAAGTGAGGAAACGAGTCAATTCCACTTAGAAAGCAGGCTGTCAGCAGGGCAGCCCTGGTCTCCAAAAAGTTTAGTAGTAAAATGCTGCCCTCCAGTCAACACGTTGGAAGGGTGTGGTTGTGGGTGGGGTGAGGCTGAACCTCTGCGGTGTTAGTACAAGGCTTTCCCGTGTGGCCCCGGGCAGGGCAGGGCAGGGCGGGCCTGGCTCTCAGTAAGAAATGCTCCTTTGCCTAAGACCAGGTTCTCTGCAGCCAGGCCCTCTAAGCTGACCACCTCTCCTCCCTGGCACTCCCAGACTTAGCCAGGAAACCGGATGCCAGAGGCCACAGAGCAGTTCCAGGAAGAGGTTATGGCTATTTGGCACCAGGGAAGGGTAAGGGGGAGGCACAAGGAGAAATTAAGGGCTGCTGCCCCCCTTTTTCTACTTACTCCCCTTTTCCCAGAAGGATATATGAGAAATCAGTGCAGGGCCCGGCCCAGCCTCCAGGCTCTGGGGTGAACTCCACCCCTCCTGGGAGGGGAGATGGAGACGGGAGGAAGTGTGGAGGCAACCCCTCCCAGCAGGAGGATCAGAATGAAACAGAGACAGCACAGTGATGGGGGAGCAGGAAGGGCCAGGAAGGTAGAATCTCAAGTCAAGGAGCCCTGTGGGCAGGGAGCAGCCTCCAGGTGGTGAAATGCTGGGAGAGCCCCCAGCCCCATTCCAGTCCAGAGACAAAGGCTGGAGGTTGTAAAGTCTGGCAGTTTGGTCTGCAGGTCCTTGCGTCTGTCCGTCCACCACCCAGGCCAGCCCTCGGCATCCCTTGACCTCTGTGCCTCAGCCCCATAGGGAAAGAAGGAGGCCATCCTTCCAGCCACCTGTCTGCCTGGGGCCACCAATAATGGGGCCTGTGACATGGGCCCTCTGGTCCCTGAAGCTGGTGGAGGTGGGGCAGAGGGGTGGGGGAGTCGGGGCACCTGTCCCCAGGCTGGTTGGGGGTGGGGTGGAATATTGAGGACGGGGAGGGAGGACAATGGGAGGGGATTAATTATTGTCTGGTCAAGGAAAGATTCCTGTTAAGTAGAATTGGAATTCCTCAGTGTTTGCAGGTTTCCTTCCAGTTCTGAGATCTAGAAAACAAAGGGGAGAAGGGGTCAGGCCTGGGCACCAGGCCTGGGCCCTGCCCCTTCTGTCCCATATGGCCCTGAGCTCTCGGCCAGCAGCATGACTCCCCTGCTAGCCTCCAGGACCCAGAGTGGGCACTGCTCCCTCCACAGCCCTGCCCTCAGGCATCCCTGGCCTACCTTGTCCAGGAGCTTGTCCATCTCCTCCTTCCTAGCCAGCTCCGACTCTTCCAGAACCCGGCGCTGTGCGGTCTCCTTTTTCAGGAACTCAATCTCCCTGGTGACCAGTGGGGGACAGACGGTGGGTACGGGGGTGTGGCCTGGCCTCCATCCAGGAAGTATCAGGATCCTCAACCCTGTCCTCAGCTCTAACTGGACAGCCCTGCCCTCCCCCTGTTCTCAGGTCAGGGGTGCCCAGGTGTTCCCAATCCCCCTGGGGCCTGGTCATGCTGGGCCCAGTTACCGCCCCCACGGGGCTCTCCAGCCTCTGTGTTTTCACCTCTCTACTCGGCTGGGGGTGGGGAAGGACTGCCACCACAGGCCTGTTAGCCTCCCTGGGTCCAGGATCCCCAGCCCCCAACCCCATGGCCACATACTTTTGCTGGTAGTCCTTGATGAGACGCTTGGCCTTGCTGTACTTGCGCTCCAGGGCCTGGTACTGGGCCTGGGTCTCCCGCAGGTGCTCATCCACGGCTTGGCACAGGCTCTGGGCTTCGCCCCAGTAGCCTTCCAGCTTCTCCATGCGTTCCTTGTTCTCCTCCACACTCTGCTCCAGCTGGGCCTTCTCCACCCGCCACCGGCCCTTCTCCTGCTCCAGGCTCTGCAGCTGAGACAGGAAGAGTGGCCCCTGGTTAGTGGGGGCCAGCAGGGACCCAGGTGCACCCTCATCCTGCACTGGTGCCAGAGCCCCTGGATGTTTCCCGCAGACACAGAGCCCGCTGCTCCCCAACTACTCACTCCTTGGCTGAGCCTGAGACCTGAAACCGGAGAGGGAAGAGGCGGGACCTCGGCCTCAGAGCTCCCAGCCAGAGTCCCTGACATTGGAGTGCATGCACTCCTAGAAAGTAGTAGGCCTGGGTTAGTTGCTGACTGGCTCTGTGACTTGGGGCAAGGCAACTTCTGTTCCATCTCAGTCCTCTGATCTGTAGAACAGGAGGGACTCCTGCCTTGTCAGGCTCACAAGGGCCTCAGTGAGGCGGCAGATGTGAAAGAGCTGGGCAGGTGAAGGTCACCACGGCCTTCCATCCCCTCTCTGCACTGCTGGCCCTACTGACCAGTTCCTGCTTCTGTAGCATCTCCAATAATCAGCCTGGCTCCTCTCCCAGCTCCCAGGCTACCCGAGTGCCGCCAAGACAGCTCAGTCCTGGAGGCCTGTTCTCTCCCTCACCTCCCACACCCCGCTGTGCACTCAGAGCCCCGAGTCCTGAGCTCCAGCCCAACACCACTTCCAACTCCTTGTGGGCACCATGCCTGACCCCAATCCCACCCACAGGAACCCATTCCTCCTTTCCTATCTAGCCCACCTCTACTCAAAGGTGCCATCATCTCACCGCCATGCCAGCACCCAGCCTCAAGCCCCTGCCTGACCCTCCAACCCTGTTGGCTGCACACGCCACTTGCTCCCTAAGCTCCAGCCACACACGCTTTCCTACAGACCCTCAGGCTTGCCAGGTTCCCTCCTGGCACTTAGTGTTTGCTTGTGCTCCCCGCTCTGCCTGGAGTGCTCCCATCCCCCCTCCCTCTTGCCTCATCATTTCCCACTAACTCACCCTTGGGTCTTCTGCTCAGAGTCTCATTTCCCCGGAGAAGCCTCCTGTGAGCACCTCTAACCACACAGTCCCCCGCCCCCTGCCCCCCTCCCCTAGCCAGACCAGGTCTTACTGCCCCAGGAGCTCAGTAGCCGTGTCCTCTGCTATGAAGCCCCATGTCAGTCTGTAAAGACACAGCCATTGGCGTGCAGACTCTCAGCTGCACGAGGGCAAGCATCTGCTTTTGCCCATCACAGGGGCTAGAGCAGTGCTGGGTACCTAGAAGGCACCTGACAGATGTTTACTGATGGTAGCAGGAACAAACCTTTGACGTCCCAGTCCCCTTCACGCTCTGCATCCACCCAGGAACCTGGCCTGTTACCTCGACCTCAGCAATGAAGCTCCAACCCACCCTTCTCTTCCATACCCTCTGCCTGCCATACTCTGGGCAGCCCTGGCCCACACATGCCTCCAAGTCTCCTGGCCTCCAATCCTTCCCACCTACTCTCGTGACCTCTCACGTCAGAGGCAGTGACCCCCTCACGGCCCTCAGGCAGCCACAGGTCCAAGGCTAGAGTCCTTAGGAGGAAGCTGGGACACTGCAGCTACAGCCCACCCCGGCAACCCAGTTCTGCTCCCCACCTCCCCCAGCGGAACGGCTGCGCCAGCCCACGGGCCTCCTCCCGAAGCCAGCCTCCAAGCTCCAGCTTGTCTCCTGCCAGCGATGCCTTTCCTCTGCCTCAGTCATCGAAACCCTGCCCCGCCCCCAAGGCTCAGCCCCGTGTTCCCCTCTCCCCATGCACAGTGGGTGTAAACCCGCGTGTAGGCGTGCACACACACAGGTACCTGGTTTGCTGTGTTCACAAGGCTCTGTGTACCCCTGCCTCTCCCCACCACCCTGGAAGCCCAACGGGAGCTAGGCCTCCTAATGTCCAGGCCCAGCAAGGGCCTGACACAGATTTTTAATGTGAATCCTGTGTATCTCCATGCTGGTGAGCGTTAGCTTCCAACGCACTGGTGTGTGTGGCTGTGCATAGTACATGTGTGAGACTGTGCATGTCGTGTGTGCGTCACCATCTGGGAGCATCAGCGTCTCTGTGAGAAGGCACATGTCCTGTGAGGATCTTCCTGCGCAATGGCCATGCCTTGCGTGTCTTACCTCAGAGCAGAGTGTCTACACATCCAGGCCGATGCGCCTGGGTGGGACGTCACGTGAAGCAAGGGTCTGGCATCTCCGAGTCCTGTCTGTGTAGGACGGGTGCCTGGGTGGATGGCTCAGGGGGTGCTATGTGCCTGGGGCCCAGGCTGGTGTGTGCCTGTGTGTGTCTCTGGGCAGTCTGCATGTACCACTGGCCCTCTATGTAGAGGACATGTGTGAGGCAACACGAACACGAAGACATCTGGCGTGTAAGTTCGTGCGCTTCAGTATAATACTGTAGCTAGCTGTACAACCTCTGATCGAGCACCTCGTATCAGATGCCGTATTAAGGACTCCCCAAGTATTATCTCATTTGATCCTCACAACCATCCTGTGGTGCTGGTGGTATTATTACCCCATTTTATAGGTGAGAAGACTGAGACCCAGAGCAGCAAGTGACTGGTGGGGCCGATGGACCCAGAGCTCAAGTTCCTGTTGCTGCCCTCCCTTGCCTCAGAACAGCTTGCCCTCTAGTGCTTGTGGGGGGGGGGTGGCAGGCAAGTGTCCGTGTGGCAGGTGTGAGGGCAGGGGGTCGTCCCTCCAGCCCTCAGACCCTGCTCCTCCCGCTCCACACCCCCTCACCTTTCTTTTCAGCTGCTGGATCTCCGCCTCGGTCACAGCATGCTTGATCTGGAGCTGCGGGGACAGGGGCGGGTGCTCAGCGCTCACTGGGGTGGGCAGCGCTGCGGAGGGGCTGCTGGCCTGCCTTTACCCTCCACCACCCCGGGGACCCTCTCCTCCCACCTCCTTGAACTTGTGCACCAGCTTCTCGGGCTCCATGTCGACAGGGGACAAAGCATCCTCATTCTCCGCCAACTCAAACACCTCGATGGCCATCTCGCCACCTGGGAACGTGGGGCTCAGCTCCTCGTCCTCGTCGGTGGCGTACTCTCCTGTCTGTGAAGGACAGAGGAGGCCGTGCACCCTGCCCGCCGCAGCCTCCCTCCGGCCTGACGCCCGGAGCCCAGACTGGCAGCAGTCTGCCCACGTCAGCCTGGGAGCCACTCAGGGGGTCTCAGGGCTCCCCCGTCAGACTGGGGGCAGTGCCAGGGGCCTGGTCTGTGTCTTCCCCTGAAGGCGTGGGTAATTCCCCCCTAAGACTGAGACCCCTGAACAAACGGCCTGTGCCTTCCCCCTCACACTGCAGGTTCCCTGAGGTCTGAAGCTGTCTCCTTCCTCAGGTTAAGTCCCCTGGGGTTAGGGGCTATGCCTTCCCCTCAGAGCGGGGGCTCTTTAAAGAACTGTATTTTCCTTGTAGCACCAGGAAGGCTCTTTGAAGAAAGAGGGTGTAACTCCTCTATTGAACTCGAGGCCCCTGGAGGGAAGGGTCTGCATCACCTCTCTGAGACCCGGGGGCTCCCCTGGGATAGGGAATGGTGCTCTTCACAAGGCCTGGGGAAGGGGTAGAAGCAGAGGATGGCTGTAAACTTCCATCCAGCCACCAGGGGGCGGTAAGGCTAGCAGCCAGGTCAGGAGTCCCTACCTCCTCATCATCCTCCCCATACTGGGCGTATCTCTGCTCCATCATCTCCCGCTGCCAACGCTCCTGCTCCAGGGTCTGCTGTATTAGCTGGGCCACCTCGCTCTGCTCGCCAGGCCGCTCCCGGCCAATCATAAACCTGTGGGGGCACCAATGTCATCCCCTCTGCCTCTGTCCTCAGCCGGGTAAGGCCACCATCCTCCCCGCTGGTGCTCTTCTCTCCACACCCAAGCCCTCCCAGGGGAGGTGAAATGAGAGGGCTGAGTCCAGAGGCTGCAGAATGTTAATAATAAATGGAGGAGCTGGGGGCCCTTATTGGGTTTCCTTCCCAGGAGAGGCAAAGGCCCACTAGCCCGCCTGGCCAGTTTTGGGGGAGGGGTGATGTCAGCCAAAATTCAGGCTGGGCTGCAGGGGCCATGAGTTCAGGAGCTGCCAGCACAGGGGTTCTGACCCTGCCGTGTGGGAGGAAACGAGACAGGGGATGCGAAGCTGACCTCCCCCCCGCCCCCACCCCCGGAGGGCAGGGTCTGGAGAGGGGTGTCTGGTATAGGCTCCAAGGCCCTGAGCTTCAGGAAGGGGCGGGATGATGGTGACTGGAGATTAGGATGGAAAGGAAATAGTGGAACTTCCAGGCACCAGCCCCTCCTCTCCGTGGCCACCCACATCCTGTTTCTCTCCACCACCCTTTCCTGGTGGCAGTGCCCCTCTCGCAGGGGGGCAGGGAATGGTCCCTAAATGTTTTTCCAGAGAGGGACATGGGGAGCTTCTAAAACCACCCCCTCAATTGACAGGCCCAGGGAGGAAAGGCTCCCAGGATTCCCCAGGGCAGGTGAGGAGGAAGGGGTGAAATGCCCAGGGAGGGACCCCTGTTTGCATGGCATTCTCCCTGCACATCTGGGTTCTTCAGCGAATGAGTCAGGATGGGCAGGGAGAGAATGAGCCCAGGAGGCCGGTTTGGAGGTGCAGTGGACAGTGGGCCTTGGTGGCCGCAGCGGTCAAGGGCTCAGGATGGGAAGGCAGGCTTGAGGCAGGGGATGTGGGCATAGCAACTCCTTCAGGCAGGGAGGCAGTGGGGCCTCCTCTCTAAGTGGGACCACCCAGAAACTTAATTGTGCATGTTGGGCAAGTGGGCAGAGTGGCCGAGTGAGGGCCGAGCCTGCTGCCCGCTCCCACTCCCACCCGCCCCACACTCCCGGCCCTCACCGCACGCGGCCCTTGGTGTTCCGGAGCACGGAGGCCGCGAAGCTCTGGGTCACTCCCACCAGACTTGTTCCATCCACCTCCACCAGGAGGTCGTTCACCTGGATCCTAGGGGAGGTGACACGGTTAGGGGGGTCTGGAGGGGAACCGTGGCGCTGGGATAGAGGTAGCCCCTTCCCATCAGAAACTCAAGGCTCAGTCCCCACAGGGACCCGGTACTTTGTCTACCTGCATAAAATGCATGAGGCCTGAGGATCAGGTACCAGCCAGACTCACCTGTGGGCAGTGAGACCTGGGCAAGCAAAGCACACTTAGGTATCCAGGACCAGGAGTGGTGGCAAGCTCCCTTCCTGTGACAATCACACTCTCCTCCCCTCCTCCATCACGCCTGACAGAGCAGTGTGACGGCCACAGAGCTCATGACCGCCCTGCACACCCACAAGAGCCCAATGCCCTCGAACACACACATCTGCTCAGACCTCAGTCTAAAGATTTCCTTCCAAACCTTGAAGACGTGCATAACACACTCGTGTTCACGTTCTGTCCCACTGGGTCCCCTCACCCTGACACGAGCGCATAGCCCCCGAGGCGCTGCAGCTGTGGTGCTGGAAGCCCTTGCTCTCCACACAAGGAGGAGAGGGACGGGGTGGCCCAGCCTGGCCTGCTGACCCCCCCCCCCCCCCGCAACTCCCACCTTCCCTGGAGCTGCAGGCCTCCTCTCAGGGCCCCCATGTGGAGATGGAGGAAAGGGCCTACTGTGAACACTGCACTGCCACGTGCCCCGCACGTGAGCACGAGCTCGTGGACACACTCTACTTGCACACACACACACTCCCCAAACAGCCAACCAGAGAGCCGGGGAAAGGTCCTGGAAAGCCCAGATGAGGTGGGGGTGAGGGGAAGAGCAGGGGCTCTCACCTTCCTTTTCATGGTCCTTTGTCCCTGTCTCATGCTCCTGAATGAGGCAACCCCACCGCCGATAACATGACCCCAAAGTCACCCAGGCCCCACAGGGACACTCCCTCACCTCTGTCCCATGGAAGGGGCCTGGGTTTGGAGGTGCCAGCACAAGGCACCCAATGTCAACCCCCAACTTCTAACAACCGTGAGGTGTCCTAAAGCCCTTCCCACTTCCCTGCTGCAATACACACATGGCGGAGTGGTCCACGGGAGGGTCCCTGGGCTTCCCAGGATGCCAGCAGGGCTTCCCAGGATGCCAGCAGGGCTTCCCAGGACGCCAGCAGACCCTCCCAGAACCTTATGGCCCAGACACCCCTCCAGCCTCTCTGCCAAAACACAGGCGCACACCACACACGCAAGCGGCAGTTTCCTCTCCAGGCACACGCCTGCCAGTCTTTCCAGCCAGGATCCCCTTGCTCTCCAGGCTCTAGCCCTAACTGCCTGCAACCTCCTGCACATAATACTCCCTTAGGCTAGCTAACTTCTGTTCTTCAGGTCTCAGCTCCTATGTCACTTCCTCCAAGAAGCCTTCCCTGATACCCAGAGAAGTCAAGCCCTCCTTTCTATGCCTTCAAGGCACCCTGTATTTTTCCTCCATTTCACTGTTTTCTGGGTGTCCCCTTGAATGTCTGTCTCACCACACGACATGCTTCACAAGGGCAAGGTCCTCATCACTGACTCGCCAGGGCCTGGCACCAGCCCCAGGACAGAGCCAGGGACTGGATGTTTGCTGAATGCAGGAAAGAGCGCTCAGATGTACTCCACCAGGCCCAGTGCCTCCACGCTCATGCTCCTGAGACCACAGCACAACACACCCCCCAAACCCCAAACCAGCACCCATCTCCAGCACCCCTCCCCCAAGAATGCCAGCGCCACGAGAGCGGGGCTCCCTCCACCTGTGCTGATCACTGCTGCGGCCCCAGGCCCAGGCCAGCCCCGGGCACAGGACCGCTCCATGAGCATCCGGGCCCTGCATGGGGAGTGGCTCGTCCCGGCCCAGCGGCCCACCCTACAGATGGCAGCTGCCGGGAAAGGCAGAGGCGTACCTGCCGTCCCGATGGGCCGCGCCGCCCTCAGTGACCGTCTTGACGAAGATGCCCAGCTTCTCCAGGCCCATGTCTGCCCCGGCCCCCATGCCGATGATGCTGATGCCCAGGCCCTCAGAGTCTGTGGAGCAGAGGGGGGGTGAGAAGGTGGTGGGGGGTGTGGAGAAGGGATGGACAAGGAACTCTAGCTCCGGGCTTGTAAGAGACAGAGTGAGAGAGGTCCCCCCACCCCAGCCCTCACTCGGGGACATGGCCCTAACCTCAGGAACAGTCCCCCACGCTTTGGAGTGTCCCGCCACTGCCTAAGGGTGCGGTTCTGTCTACCCCTTCTGCCAAGTCAGCGAGGATGCTCTTGGGTCACTCCACCCTCTGCCCACCCGGAGAACTGATGGGCAGGAGGGCCAGAGACTGCCCTGCACGCAGCCTAGAGTATGTGGAGGGAGGGGGCGGGGCGGGGGTGGCGGCTTGGGGCTGTCTTCTCCGAGCTCTCTCAACCACACTCACAGCCTCAGTGGCCAAAGCTTCTGCTCCTCTCGCCTCTGAGGCCCACTCCCCTCTCCACAGCTGCCCCAACCCTGGTCCCATGGGCCTCTGACACCCAAACTCACGGTCTTCCCCCCAGACAGGCTCTTCCCGTCTGCCACTCCCTCGTGGGGCCTGGGAGAGTCACCTGGACACCTCCCTCCCCGCATAGCCTCTGCCCAAGCCAGTCACCGCCAGACCCTGCCCCGTGCTGCCTCTCCAGGGCCTTCCAGGGCTGCCCGAGGCCCACACAGCCATCATCTCGTCCACGCCACGGTGCTCTTGGCACCTCCCTCTTGCATCACAGCCCGGGGTGGTCTTTCTAAAACACCTCTCCCACATCTCGCAAAGGCTTCCAGTCCATCTTGGAGAACAGCGTCCTTCACGTGGTCTCCACGGCCTTGTTTGTGCTCCCGTCTTCCCCTCACTATCCAAACCCAGCCAGCCTGCCCTCTCTTTCCTGCGCACGCCCCTGGGGGCCTCCTCTTCAGAGCTCAACTCAGGCACCACTTCCTTGGGGAACTCCCACCCCACCCTGAGTCGGGTCAGGTCTCCTATAGAATGCTGCCACTGTGGTCCCTCCATGCCTCCCGGGCACCCTTACGGCGCTGAAGGACTTAGTAGCCGCGCATGACTGTCCCACCCACGTCTGCCGCCCCCACCGGCCTCCCCTCATGTCTGGCCAACTCACAGCCCAGTGTGCCCAGCTACGGTGCCCTCGGGAACCTGGCGACTGAGGGAGCACAGGGGCCCGGGGCAGAAGCTGGAACCAGAGGGAAACCCCCGCGGCCTGGCCCCGGCCTCTCACCCTTCTCCAGCTCCACAGGGAACAGCTCCAGCCTCTCCACCCGCTTCTCCAGTTCATACTCCGCAGAGGCCGCCATGGGATCCACATCCTCGTTGCGCCGATCATAGTCCTCGTTGGAGTAGGTGCTGAACACCTGGGGAAGGGTCACTGGTCAGAGGGCAAGAGCAGGATGGGCTTGGGGAGGCCGAGGGGGCAGGTCGCACTGCCCACCGATGCCACCCTGCTACCGCAGGCCGCCTCCACCCCCGGACGGATGGAGATGCGGCCTCCCCTGGCCCCACGGTAGCTCCAGCTGGGAGAGAAGATCCTTCTAGTCCTGGGGCCCAGGGGGCAAGAGAGAAAGGGGCGCGGCCTGGTCCAATCCGGTCATTCTCTTCTGCAGCCCAGACAGCACGGGCAAGCCCGCAGCAGGAGGACAGGACGGGCTATGCTGGAGGAAGTGTCAGACTTGGGGACCCAGGTCCCCAGGTCGGTTGGAGAAAGACACGTGGACAGCGAGGAACAGAAGGCGGGAGATGGGGCCCGGGCCAGGTTGCTCGGTGGGTTAGAGCGTCGACCCGATACGCCAAGGTTGCGGCTCGACCTCTGGTCAGGGCGCAACCAAGAATCAACCAATGAATGCCTACCTAAGGGAACAACAAATCAATGTCTCTCTCTCTCTAAAATCAATACATTAAAAAAAAAAAAGACAGTGAGAGACGAGGGAGGACCAGGCGAGGGTGGACAAAGACAGAGACGGACACAGACGGCAGAACGGTGGAAGGGACGGGCTGCGCAGGAGGAGAGAGAAGAGGAGGAGGGGAGGAAGAATGGAGATGCTGAGGATGCCAGATGGGGAGGGAGGAGGGAGCGGGTGTGAGGCACCGGGAGGGGGCGGGGAGCAGGGAGGCAGGGATGGAGAGGCAGAAGGGCACCCAGGACCCAGCTGATGTGAACCTGAAGTTGGGGCTGGGGCTGGGAAGGCAGGAAGCACCACCTCCACCCTCGTGGAGAATGGGCAGGCCTTCCCCTGAGGTGCCCCTCGGGCGGCAGGAGCAGGAGAGAACCCCACGGCCTTGCTTGCCTGGCCAGGCCTCGGTCTCCCTCTAGGCCCGCGGCTCAGCTCTCGGGGGTCAGCCCCTACCCCCAGTGCCCTGGGTTCTGGTGAGACAAGGACACGCGCGAGGTGGCAGCCTCTCTGACACTGTCCACAGGAGACCCAGCCTTGGTGGTGGCCCCAAGGCCAGCTCGGCCTTCTTGACCCCCTGTGCCCCTCTACTGTCGCCCACTTCCCATGTCTCTCAGCAAACAGGGGCTTCCCCAGCCCAACCCTCCTCCGAAGAACAGAGGAGACAGGGCAAGGCTCTGTGGGAGAGCCCGATTCTGGGCTCCGGGCAGGGGGCCCCAGTGGGAGGTTAACAAGCACCATTTGGGGCGCCATGTTTCATCGCCTGCAGCTCTGACAGTCGGCTAAGTGGGGGTGAGGAGCAGCTCTGTCAGGTGGCTGGACCCAAGGCCTGAGGGGCTGGAGTGGGCACTGTCTGCCCCCAGGCCCCTGCTGGGGCCCCCTCTCTTCCTGGGTCCCACAGCAGCAGACAGTGGTACTCCTGTGTCCCAGCTTCAGTGGGGGCACGTGTGCCCTCCCCCCCCCCCCCGAGGCTCCCTCCCAGGGTGATGTTCACAGGACTAGAGATGCGGCTGGGGCAGGGGGCTACGTGGCCACTAAACTCACTGTCCTCCATTTCACAGCAGCAGAGACTCAAGCTCAGACCCTGAAAGCTCATCACCAGCTGTGCAGCGGCAGCTGGATGGCCCTCTTGACACCTGGCCGGCAGCCTCCAAGCCCCCTGGGGGAGGGCCACCCCTGTGCACACGGTGCAAGATGCCAGGCCCGCTGCCCTGGGGTAGCCAGCAGAAGGGCAGGATGAGACTCTGCCCAACTAGGCCCTGGTGGTTGGGTGACCTGTGACTTTGTCCCCGTTGCACACGTGTCCCCAGCCCTAGGACAAGAGCTGGTGTGAGCCTGGACACGGCCTCAGTCTCTGTGGTGGCCCAGGTCACCCTCACCACACACACATGTGTGCATGTGTGCACACACTAACACACACACAGTAACCTCTAAAACTCCCTTACAGACTGCCCTGGGTTTTGCCCTCATCCTTTTTTAAATCCTGCCGTGTTGCAGGAAACCCAGGCCTCAGGCTGAGGCCCCAGACCACCTTTCACGTTGCCCACCATGACACACCCAGCCTAGAGAGGGCCCTGGACCCAGTCTCCTGCCCCCCCCCCCCATAACAATCTGGAATCGGGCTCTCTGTCCTTGCCAGAAGCCTCCATAAAGGCAATAACTGGGTCATCAGCAGGACACACGGCCCAGGACTCAGTATCCGTGCAGGGCGGGGGCAGGGAGCGGGAAAAGTGGGGACTGCTGCGGGGCTGGAGAGAAGAAATCCCAGCAAGGTCAAAAGTCAGACACAACAGGGCAGCACCACTTGCCACGGCTCCCACACTCGGGCCAGCGACAGTCACCGGGGAATCAGGAGCACTGCTCCAAATCAGGTGCTATTTTTACCCAAAAATCAGGGTAAGGTGTCAAATATAGACAGTCGGAGGCCCAGGACCAACGGACCAAACGCCACCTGCGAGGGGCTCAGGGGGCTCAGAAAGGTGGTGGTGGTGTTGGTGACGGGGACCTCACTTCCTCAGGGTCCCTACCCACTTCCTTAGGCCCCAGAAACCACCATCGTCCTCAGTTCCCTCCAGGATCTGCTGGCCTCAGGGGAAGAGGAGGGCTGGGAAAGGACTCGAAGGGGAAGGGTCGATGGGGGAAGGGGCTGGCCAGGACTCTTGATGAGAGGGACAGGTTACCACACTCTGGCTGGTGAGAGGAAGCGGGGACAGCTCCAGCGTCCAGGAGTAGGTATGGGAACTGCGAGCAGACAGCTGAGGGTTTGACCCAGGAGGTTGAAGGCAGGATTCAGACCAAGGCAAGTCCAGGGGCCTGTCCCTCTCACCCCACAGACCTGGCCACTGAACCAGGGGAGGTAACAACAGGCCCTCTGGGCTGAGTGTGCCAGTCAAAAATAGGAGGGTGGAAGGAAGTACGGGGGTGGCCTGGGGTTCTTCAGTCTCCCCAGGGGATGCCTCCACTCCTCCCCCTACCCAGCACCGTCCTGAGGAACTCTGGCCCGCTCTACAAAGCAATCACCAAGAGTGGTGGTGGGGACCGAAGAGGACAAACGGAGACCTCCCAAAAGGGGCAGCCTCCTTCCCTCTTCCAGAGAATGTGACGAGAGCACTTGGGGCCTGCCCAGGCCACGGAGTCTGTCCTAGTGAGCAGTCAAGAGCAAAGGCATGCAGGCTGTGGCCAGGTTCCCTGGGGGTTCCCAGCTCCACCCTCTCCTCCCTGACCTGCCGAAGGCCTCGCCCCCTGGATGGCCACACAGAGTGCCTACTCCCCCTAGAACCCAACACTACCCCCCTCCAGCTCACACAGACCCCAAATAACGGCCGACCGCAGCCCTGGCCTTCCCCCACCCCCAGTCACATGGCCCCAGGCCAGCTCATCTTCAAAGAACTGCTTCCCTGTTTCACTTCTGCAAAGTTGGAGTAGGGGCTACAGGCAGGATGGCGGAGGGACTACCTGTACCTTGGTTTCGGGAAGTTCCTGGCTCCTCCCTCCCACATCCTTTACAATTCCTATACAGGGAAACGCTGGGAATCGTTCTGGGCTCCCCCGCCGCCCTCCCGCCCCGCCCGGAGCTGGGTAAAGACCATTGTGGGAGGCTCTCCTGACGACACACACGGACACGCGCACACGCACACCTTCCCACCGCCCAAGCCTTTGCCTCTGGCACTTCTGGAGGAAGAATGTCTGGGAGAGAAAGGGAAAGCAGGTGTCTCAGGACCCTTGGGGCGGTGGGGGGGGGGGCGTGGGGGGCAGGGCTTGTGCGGCGTGAGCGCTGGGCGGGGCAGCAGGCAGAGGAACCTAAGGGCAGGTCGGAGCAGGCCACCCCCGTCTCAGGCCTGAAAATTATCCCTTTCTGACAAACAGCTGGAACTCCCCCACGCCCCCCTCGGGGTGGTAACTTGTGGGAAGGGGGCTGAGTGGCAGGGGCTGACTCAGCCTGCCGAACTCCGCTGGCGAGGTGGGGGGTGACAGCGTGCACTTGGCAGGGGGGGGCACACGGGGGCGGGGGGGGGCTCACTCACTTGGATCGGCGCAGTGCTGAAATGGATCTTCCGGCTTGGGGCAGGGTCCTCTTCCTCGGACAGCCCCGGGATCTCCACGCACCCCGACTCCGGCTCATAGGGAGGCTCCGCATCCTCCTCGTCGTCTTCATCGTCCTCCTCTAGGGCGCTGCCCCCAGAGTCCTCCCCCAGCCCACTGTAGGCGCTCACGTCCACCAAGTCTGCCTCCGAGAAGTCCTCCTTCTTGGACTCCTCTGCCTCCTCCCGGGCCACATCCGGGGCCCGGCCATTGCCCACCCCTCTTTCAGGCGCCGCCACGGTCGCCGCCTCTTTCTCGGGGGCCGCTTGGGCCTTCTGCTCTTCGGGCGCGGGGCTGGCTGTGGTTGCCAAGGCGCTGCCATTCTCCAGGGCCGCGTGGACCGTCACCTCCGCCTGGATCACCTCCCCGGGCGCCGCCTCGGCCTCCGACTCCCCGCTCTCCTCCACCTCCACCGGCTTAATCTTGCGCACCTCCCGGGGCTTGGGGGGCGGCCGGGTGGGAGCCACTCGGTGCTGCGGGGGCTGCTGCCCTCCGGGGCCGCGCTCTTTCTCGGCTGGCGCATCCCCCGACGGGGCGGGCGGTGGAGGAGACGGCTGAAACACCCGGGACCGCTTACTGACCAGCTTCGAATTGACCTGGGGAGCCCCGGTGGCCACGGCCCTGGGGAGCCCGGGTCCGCGGTGGAGGCCGGTTCTCGAGTCGGCCTTCTCAAAAACGGCACTGAGCTGGCTGACCGTCGGCGACACGGCGTCGGCGTCCAGCTTGTCCAGAGCCTCCGTGCTCCCGTTGAAGCGCACCACGACGTCCAGCTTCCGGTCCTGCAGGCCCGCGCGCTCCTGCCTCAGCAGCCGCCGCGCCGCCGCCTCCTTGTCGCCGCCCGCGGCCGCCGAGACGCTCCGTTCGAACAGCTTCCGCGTCTCCTGCAGCCGGGACGGCGGGTGCGGCGGCGGCGCGGGCTGCGCGGAGGGCGCGGGCTTGGAGTCGAAGCGGCTCACGCGCTCGGACACGCTGGTGCCCAGCTTGAGCAGGGCGCTGTGGTCCACGTTCTCGTTCAGGCTGCTGGCCCGGGGTAGCGACAGGCGCACGCCGCGCTCCGACGCCCGCGGGGCCTCGGTGGGGCCCGCGCCGCCGCCCGCCTCGCCTGGCGGCCCGGCCGGGGTGCCCATCTGCAGGAACATACTTTTGATGCGGTGGACGTTGGAGCCATATTTCTTGTGGTGGGCTGCCTTGGGTGCATCGTCGGGCCCGGGCGCGTCGGGCGGCTTGAGCGCCTGGATGCCCGCCTCGTAGGCGCTGCGGTGCGGCGAGGCGCTCCGGAGGGGACCCCCGGGCCCCCGCGGCTCCGTCTTCATCATGGTGGGGGGAGCCGGGTTCGCATGCCCCCGCTGCCCGCTCCCCCCCTCCAACAGGCGGCCGGCCAAGTCGGGACCACCGCCCCCTCCCCCCGAGAAAAGAAACCCCGAAAGGCCTTTTATAGGCTCCCCCCAAAAGCAAGCTGCCAAAGACAGTTAAGGCCGCTTAAAAAAAAAGGGTAAAAAAATCTGCGAGCGCCCTGTGTGGGTCGCCTCCCCCAATCAAGCTGCCAAAGACAGCCAGCCCCTCTTCCAAAGCCCCAGCGGCCTGGTCCAGTCGCCCCCAACCAAATGAGAAAAGCGGCGGCGGGGCCGGTGGCACCGCGCGCCCTGCCCGCGAAGCAGCGGCAGAGGCGCCGGCTCACATCGTCCGCGGCGGTGTCAGCGGGGCTGGCAGCCCGGGCGCCCCCCACCCCGGCCAGGGACCTTGGCTCTCGGGGGGCCCGGCACCCCGACACCCATGGCTGCTCGGCCGTCCCGGGCCGTTCCGCCACCGCTCCACCCTCCCTCCCTCCCTCCCCCCCGTGCCCCGAGCCTCGGTCTTTCTCTGGCTCTGCCCGAGCGGCGGCAGCCGGAGACCGAGCGGCTGCCCTTCTCGCCGCCGCCGCTGGGGAACTAGCACCTCTGGGTCCTAGAGGGATCGGATTTCCGGGGCCGGCGTTCGTGAGCCCTCCCCTTCCCCTCCACCCGACCGTATCCCCTCCCGGTCTCTTGCTCGTCCCTCGCCGACAGCCTTCCGCTGACCTCAGACCCTGGCCAGTCCTTTTCACCGCATCCATCCCAACCTCTGGCTGCGGCTCTTCACAGACCTCATAACCGCACCCCTACTGTATATTGAGGAGAGGAAATCCAACCACAGTGGTCTCAGTGCCGCCCCTTTTCACCCCAAAAGTGAAGGCAGATTACTGGGGAGGGGCAAAGGATTATTTCCTTCAAGGTCTTTGAGTCCCTAGCATGGTTCAAGGCCATCAGCGTCAAAATCGCTCCGGGATTTTAAATTAAAAAAAAAAAATCTGTTATGTGGGTCCTCCCCAAACTTTGGGAAGCAGAATCTCAGGGGCCTGGTCCCAGGAATCTGCATTTTTAACAGTTTCCCACAGGGAACCGTTTGCACCCACCCTCTAAGGCGTCAAACCTTGGCCCCAGTGTTGTTGGCCTTGTGGTGGAGGAGGAAGAGGCCTGGAGAAACGAAATGGTCCTCATCACCCACGCTGGCCTTCTTCCCTTTAGAAGTCTGAAGAGGGTGTGCTGTCACTTGCCTGCTTTGCACTTAGGCTAACAGGGAGGGGGCAGATCCCTGTCTTCATGCCCCTCCTAGCATCTTGCCTCTCAAACAGGGAGAAGCAATTTTGGAGGCCTGGGGCTAGATTTTACCAGTGAGAGCTCTGGAGGTTAGGTCTAAAGGATCTAAAGGATCTAAAGGATCCTGGCCAATCTGCAAGTGTGTGCAGGGGGGAAGGGCTACCTTGGCAGTGACCTACACATCCTCTGTCTGGGCAACCCAGAAAGCTGTTTTGATGCTCCCCCAGCCCCCACGTGCACAGGGGCCTGGGACCCTCCCCAGCTCCCTCCTGGGAGTGGTGGTCCACCCTCTAATCATGACAGGTCCAGATGCACTGCTTCACTCCACACATCCTAGAAAATGGTGAACATTGTGGACCCTAGGACCCAGAGAATAGCTCAGGCACAAAGCCTCCCCCCCCCCAACACTCCCAGCTGCTTCCTGCATTTTAGGCCTTCCTGCGGCCTCTGCCTCCTCCCCCGCCCTCTTCCCTTCCATCCTCTTCCTCTTCTTCCCAATCTCCCACTCTCCACCCCTTGCCTAGAAGGGCTGTCAAAGGGAATGCTCCCACCCCTCCAGCGTAGGAGTGTGTGTGGGTTTTGTGGGATATAAACCAGTTAGCACGTGTAAAAGAGCGTGGGGGATGGTGTGGGAAGCCGCCTGGGAACCCTGAATATTGGGACAGGGAGGGGCCGGGAATCACAGGACTGAATCTTGAGCCTGGGGAGCCTGAGGCTAAGTGAGAGGGAAGATTTGGGTTCTGAGCTGGAGCTGGAAGTGAACCCAGACCCGAGGCTTTCCAAGGCCACCTGCTTCTTTGCCCAGCTGCGCAAGTAACTCTCCCCTCCCCAATCTTACACTCTGGCACGGGGGCAGAATGAAGAAGCCAACGTCGATCCCCCCTCCGTCCTAATCTGTCTCGAAAGACTGCTTTCAGGAGCAAACTTTGGGACTCGTGATTCCAAGCTCAAGTCTGGAGCTTGACTGGTCCCCCACAGCCCCCAACCCAACTATGGATGAGGGTGAGACAGAAATCGCAGGTCGCTGGGGCCTGGGGGTTTGGGCCCAGTGTCCTCAGAAGCTCTGTGTGTATTGGAGGAGGGTGCAGGGCCTTGGGTGTTCTGCCCAGAATCTCCCACACCCTTTGGTGAGTCATCTTAACTGATCCCAGCCCAAGGGGTCTGTGCCCACGCTTCTGGCCAGGTGGGAAAGACGGCTCCTAAGGGTGGGGGGAGGAGCTGAGAATCAGCTTTCCGGCCCAGGGACCCTAGATCCCCAACAACATCGTCAGCAGCACCTTGGATTGAAGTAGAATCCTTGAGATGCGTGGGTCTCCCTTGTCCTGAGACTTCCAAAAACGAAACCCCTTTAAGGGCTCTGGGATACAGGAGGGTGGAGCCAGCCCAGAACTTGGATGACTGAGGCTAATGAGTGGGATTACTTTTTTCACGGACTCCTGGTTAGCTCAATGACACTCCCAGCCAAAATTCCTGAAGAAGCTTTTATGGAGCACTAAGCGCTTTACCGTCACTCCTTCCCTGGAATCAGGCACCGAGCCGGCTGGCCTGGGAGATGGGTGGGAAATGGTCTTGTCTCCATCACCTCACGGCCTGCCTTCAGTAGTACATTTTTGGCCGCACCTCCCACGCATGTGATGAGGAGGAGAACTATTATTTTAGGGAGGATTACCCTTCAAATTGGAAGGTTTAAATCTAATTTTCATTCCTCAAGCTGTGATCCTCACCTGATTCCTCCAGTTGAGTACCCCAGGGTAATCATTTAACTTGCCTTTTCCGTTGTCCGTTGTGGAGGAGGCCTTGATGGCCAAATGCCTGGTGGTCTTTGAGTGAAAGTTCCTTCCTTCCCTTTGCCCTGGAATGGAGGGAGGAGCGGTTCCCCAATCTGACCCAGAAGCTAGGCTGTCTGAGTTCAAATCCTGGCTTCACCATTCACTAGTTGCGTGACCTTGGACAAGCCGCATAGCCTCTCTGTGCTCTGAGAAGATACACTGAGCTGAGAGTGGCTAGAACACAGTGGCTGTGAGGGGAAGGAGATGCCTTTCCTAGTCCTTGCTAAGAAGCCTGGAGGCTTAAGTAAGCACAGGTCACCTACCCCTACCCCCAGCCCTCTTGATAAAGCCCCTTCCTGGTTTCCCACCAACGCCTAATCTGCTGAGGACCCTCTGACCTGTTCCTTGAGGCTTGCTCGTTTCAAACGCTAGGCATAGCTGTAAAGACGGGTGATGATGCTGGAGAGAGATCTGATTTGTGTTAAGTCCCAAACCCTTAGCAGCCCGGGCTCAGGCCCCAGCTGGATGCCAAGGCCGGCTTCTCCTCTCAGTCCCGGGGCCTTGAGACTCAGCCTCAGAAAGGGGTGCTCCCCAATCACCCTCCTGTGTCTGTCCTACTCTGCTAGGGACTTGAAAACTGGAAAGGTGTGTGTAGTGTATGCATTATATACCGAACTCGAATTCAGGAAGTCAGTGTTGGAGGACTGTCAATGGCCCTTGGCTGGCCCCTTTCCAGGGCGAATGAGGAAGGCTGAAGTGTGGAGAGAAAAGGGACTTACCCAGTTTGGGAGGGAAAGGACCAGGCCAGGGTTCAGAGGTCTGAATTGAGTCCTAGCTCCACCCATTTGCTGGGTGACCTGGGACTAGTCATTTCTGCTCTCAAAGCCCCCATTTCCTTAAAAGGCCTGATTTGGATGCCTGCGTGTGTCTCCCGATCGTGGGCAATGCCGGGCCTTCCCCACTCCGTGTGGAGCAGAGCAGAACAAGGGCTTTGGAACCAGATCATCTTAATTAGAATCCCCAACCTGCCACTCCCCAGTGAAGGGACTTCAAATCTCTCACTTTCAAATTGAGATAATATACTGACCTCATGGGGTTATGAGGATTAAAGGAGTTCGAAGTGCATAAGGCATTGAGAAGAGCTCCTGGCACAAAGCGGGAGCTTGGTGTCGGCTGCCATTAATTGCATGTGTACCTGAACATGTATGAGTGTGTGCACACATGTGCTCATGTATGGGACGGTGGTATGGCTGAAAGTAGATCAGAGCGTGTCTCTCGTTGTGTGTTTTCTCGGGCCTCGTTTCCCTTTAAGACGCAGGTGGCAAACAAGGCCCGTGGGCTGAATCTGGCCCTCTGCCTTGTTTCATCTGCCTGGCACCTTATTTCTCCCCAGCAGCAGCGCCGAGCTCCTTGCCCCTAGTTAAGGAGTAGTTACATGTATACAGTCCTACAATTACATTCGGCTCTTTGAAGGCAACCGCGAGGCTGATGTGGCCCCCAGTGAACATGAGTTTGACACCCCTGTTTTAAGACCTGTTATAGGAGATTCTGTAACATAGGCACCCCCTGCCTGCAGCACTTCCAAGTCTTTTGGAATCATCTTTTGGAGTGAGGGTGACCTCCTTCTCTACCTTCCAAAGGGTTTGGCATTGCTGCTTCTTGGTTCCTTAGTCCCCCATTGCGCCTGCAGAGAGAGGGGTCCCTCGGGGTTGTCCCACAGCGGGGAGACTGCCTTGCTGCCTCTGTCGCTCTGTCCTGCCCCACCCCTCTTCCTTCCACTCACCCTTCACGCTTCCCTCTAGTGCCACTGGGAAAGTTTGGATGCCTCTTGGAGATCTAGGAGGGAGACCAAGAAGGAGTGTGTGTGTGTGTGTGTGTGTGTGTGTGTGTGTGTGTTGGGGGGCCAGAGAGGGGTGGGGCGGACGAAAGATTTCTCTAAATCATCAGTTGCTTTAAAAGAAAGCCTATATTTAGCCAGACTTAGAAGGCCTGCAAATATGTATTTTGCAACCCAGACAGTCAGAGCTGTGGGAGCTCCAGAGATATGCAGGAAGGTCAAAGAAAAAAAAAAAAAACAACCGGAAAGATTGGGAAATACATTTTGCCATCAGCAGATTCGAAGAATTCTTCCTGCTGCCTGCTTCTACCGTCAGCAACACACATTCCTTGAGTTTTGATGGTGGCTCCTACTTTTCCTCTGCTCTCTGGATCTCTCGCAGTGGGTGCAGAGGAGGAGGCTGGTTCTCAAAGTCACCTTCCTCTGCCAGCCTTCGCCTCACTGCCCTGGGTCAGGGGAAAGAGCATCCTGCCCCGGCCCCTGCCGGCTGCCCTCCTGCCGGGCTCTGCCCAACTGGGGTGGTGCCTCGCACAGGTGTAGCCTCCGTAAGTCCAGCTCGCCAGTCTCCCATGCGCCCCTCCTGGCACTTCACGTGGTCTCGGGGATGAGGGACGGGAGGACAAATCCTGCCACCTCAGGGCAGTTTTTCTTCTCAGAACTCTCCTTTCAAGAAAAATTATTCATCGTTTGTTTGTTTTTGGTTTCTTTTGCTTTTAGTTTGGAAAGTTTCTTTAAAAATAAGAAAAGTTCCCAGAATCACGTCACAAACCGAATTTACAAATCCAGCATTGTGTCCCTTTTGCTCCAGGTTCTGTCGTATAAAAGAAATAGACTGTGAGAGTTTGAGCGGAAGAGCCCCTCTCTTCCCAGCCCTACGGCCTGGCCTGCCCACTCTCACGAATTGGGAATGCATCCTTTAGAGCCCATGCTTTCAAAAGTATTATTATTCATGGTAAGATATACTTAACACGGCATTTACTATTTTCACTTGAAGTGTATGGTTCAGTGGCATTAAGCACATTCACACGGTTGTGCAATTGTCACGGCCATCTGCCTCCAGAACGGATTCCATCTTCCCAAATGAAACTCTGTGTCCATTAAATGGTAACTCGCTCTGTCTCCCCCTCCCAGCTCCTGACAACCACCGTCTTCCTTCCTGTCTCCATGAACTTGACTGCTCTGGGCACCCCACATATGTGAAACCACAGTCTTTGTCCTTTTGTATTTGCCTTACTTCGCTTAGCGTAGTGCCTCTATGCTAAGGTTCATCTACGTTGTAGTGTGTGTCAGAATTCCCTTCCTCCTTATGTCTAGCCACTATTTCTTATTTTCCCTGCATTATTAAGCATCCAGAAAGCAACACATTGTAATGTGTTCTGTATTATTAAAATGTACCCATGTATGACAACCATGGAACTGTGTTTATCATGTGTGGATTTCTTTTCCCACTTGATACATTTTTTGCAGTGTGGCCACATTAATATGTGTCTTTGGTTCCTTCATTTCAACTCATGTGTTTTATTTCATCATGTGAATACACCACAGTTTATTTGTCACTTCCTCCATTGTACTTGTCTGAACCATCTTTAGAATATATATACCTAGGAGCAGAAAGCCAGGGTCGTAGGGTGGGCATCCATTCAACTTGACTGTGAAATTGCTGTCCATAGTGACCGAACCGATCTATGTTCTCACCACTCGCGTTTGTACAAGATGTCTGTCTGACTACATTCTCACCAACATCTGCTCTTGTTAGACTTTATTTTCGCCAGTCTGATGGGCGTGAAGTGGTATCTCATTTGCATCTGCATTTCTTGTCTATGAGGTCAAGCATCTTATCATGCTCATGGGCCATCTGGGTTTCCTCGGGGCAAATTGCTTCTGTCCGTATCCTCGGATGTCTATTGCAGCCTTTGCTACAAGAAAGCCCAACTAGATGTGATTTAAGCCAGAAAGGAATTTTACTAGCTTACGTCACAAGAAGTACTATGGTCGGTTCATTCAGAGGCTCACAGACCAGGTTCTTTCCATCTCCCTATTATACCCTCCTCACACGTGGGCTAGCCTCTCAGATTGTCCCCTTGGGGTCCAAGGTGGCAGGCTCAGCTCCCGGTGTCTTGTGAGGACAGCAATGTTTAGAGGCAGAAGAAAGTGAATGGTTCCCTAGTGTCTCTTCCCAAAGGCCCCACAGGAGACCTTCCTTTACGTCTTGGTGAACACAGTTGCACGCATGTCCACACCTAAACTAATCATTAATCAGAGGAACTGAATCATCATGCTATTTAAACCAATCACTGTCTACCTGCTGGGGATGGGACAAGCCCACCCTCCAGCAAAGCCTAGACCCCTGACTCCTGAACCACACCGGGGTTTTATTAGCAAGGAAGAGGGGAAAGAATGCCATTGGGGTGGCACTCAAACAGTCTGTGCTTTCCTTATTGATTTGTAGGAGGTCTTTATATCCTGGATACTAACTGTTACCTGTTTTGTGTGCTGCTAGCATTACCGCCCAGGCTGTCAATGTCTTTTCACTTTGTTTATCATGGCATTTTCATAGCAGAAAGCTTGCTTTCATTTTTATTTTTGGTAATGTAGTAACATTGATCAATATGTTGTGAGTTATGGTTGTTGTTTTTTTTTTTGGTCTAAGAAATCTTTTCCTACCCCGAGATCTCCTACATTTTCTTCTAATTGTCTTAAAGTTTTATTTTTTGCTTGTAGGTCTTCCATCCATCTGGAATTAATCTTTCTGGATGGTTTTTCATATGAAAAGCCAAATGTCACCACACTTTCTCATTGAATAGCTTATTCCCTCTCGCTGAACTGCAATGCCACGGCCATCATAAATCAAATCCCCACATACACTTGGAACTGTTTCTGGGCACTCTGTTCTATTGATCTCTTTGTCTAGCCCTGCACGGGTACCACATTGTTTTAATTACTATCGCTTTCAAATAAGTCTTGGTCTCTGATAGGGACTTACTCTATTTCAGAACTGTCTAGTCTCTTCCTGGTGGTTTGCCCTTCCATATGAATTTTAGAATCAGTTTGCCTCGCTCTCTGAGAAGATCCTCCAGGACTGTTGAGTAGACGCTCATTAAATCAGCAGATTAATATGGAGAAATTGTCTTTATGGCATTGAGGCTTCTCATTCCTAAAACTAATACATCTCTCCATCTCTCGATTTATTCCTTTTATAGCCTGTAGTTTTTCTTCACGAACATCTTTAAATATCTTTTCCAAGACATTTCTGGGTTCTGTACGATTTTGATTTTATTGTGAATTTCTTTTTAAAGAGATATTGTAGTTTCGAATAAATTATTGCTCATGTATACAAACACGGTTGAATTTTGTGTTTTATTGGGTGTTAATCTTTGTCCAGCAGCCTTGCTGATCTCTCTTAATAACTCAATAACATGCCTGCAGAATCTTAGATTTTCTATACAAATAATCACACCATCTGCAAAAATATGTCAGAGATTTTCTTTATTTTATTTTCCTAATCCTTCTATTCCTGAGTGGTAGCTCCTAAACCCGACTTTTCCCAGCTCTCAGGCTGCACCAGTGGGCTGGCCCCGGGCAGATGGCCTTGCACTGTCAGTTATAAATAAATAAGAGGCCCCTTACTTTCTCCAGAGCTTTACAGTTTACAAAGCACTTTTGCTTCCGTTATTTCATCGACCCTCATTGGTCCCTTTTTACAGAGAGAAAGTGTCTCAGTGGCTCTGGACTTGCCGTCCACAGTCCTGGCTGTGCAGGATACTGTTCTGTAGGACCTCGGATGGCCCCTCCCCTTCTCCGTAAATTGACAAGTTTGGCCCAGGGAGGGTCTCGGGCAGTCTCGAACTCACGACGGACCACGTCGGGCGGCCACCGGGCTCAAGGAACGAACACCTTTGAGGGCTGAAGTCCACCAGTAAGAAGGGAGGAGACTGGATATGCTTAGGTCCTCAGGCAGGTGCCCCCAAATGTCGTGGGCGGGTGGGGGGGGGTGACTGGGGAAATACAGAGATGTCCTTGGAAGGCCGAGGGTTGACACAAATGATGGAGAGGGTGGGGAAGAGGGCATTGTGTCCAGCCCCCTGACTCCATGCGGGTTCCCTCCCCCGTTTGGAAGAACATCCTTTGGACCCGGAAGGGGAGGAAGAGGTACAGCTAGAGGCGTGGGTCCCCTCCTCCGTCACTCCCTCTAGTCGCCGCGTTCTGACGCGCATCCCCCACCCGGGGCCGGGCGCTCGGCAACCACCCAGGCTCTCCACTCCGCGCCGGCTGCCAACCCCGCGAGCTGTCCTCAAGTTGCGCAGGCGCAAGTCCGGGCTGGAGCCGACGGGTGCGCCCTCTCGTGGCGAGATGATCGATTGCACCCCTTTGTTGTTGCGCTGGGAGCGGCGAAGAGGCTGGCTGAGAAGGATGTGGGTGGAGTCTAGTTAGCAGAGACGACTATCAGATCACAATGACGGGAATCTCTTTCCTTTGTCCCTCATGATAACATGTAATCCTCCGTTTTATTCACAGACGAAGAAAATATGGCACTCAGAGAGCAAGAGACAGGTCCGTAGAGACGGAAGTCGGATGTGACAAAATTGGGAAGAAGATGCATTCATTCAATCCATCATTATTCACTCAGCAAACATTCACTGGGATGGGGAAAGAGAGGTACAAAGGACCGGGGAGAATAACTGAGACACTGAAGGGCCAAGATCCGGCAGAAATCTGGGGAGACAGGTGCAGATGGCAAAGTAGCAGGGACAGAGACCCAGCTAGCTGAGGGCAGGACAAGCTTATGGGGCAATGCTGAGAGAGGCAGAGAGTAGAGACCCGACCCTCCAGCACCTGAGATGGATGGATGCTGCAAGTGGTGAGGACCAAATTGGCAGCTGAAGACGGGACACTTTAGCACCAAACACTGGTCACAACGTATTGAAGCAATCGAATATGTTCAAAGCCATAAATTCATAATTGTGCTACTAACTTTAAAAAGCTAATTGGTCACCGTTTAGAGGATGGTAGGGAACCAACTCATTATTTGGAAATTGGTGAACACAGGAATAGAGTCAAGCATTTATCCCGTCTTTCCTACATGAGCTGTGTATCATCCCACAACCAACTAGGAAGTAAGGGGCAGTTTTTCTGTGTAGAATTGTTCCAGGTAATGAAGGAAAGAGTGACTGAATTTGAATATCACCATTTTGTTTAAACAAATGGGTGGGTGGATGAGGCACCAAGATCAATGGCCACTGTGCCTCTGGGTGGAAGAAGGGGACTGGTCCAAGGAAAGGAAACCTACACCTGATCAGGGCTCTTGACCCAATTACAGTTTATGAAAAGTGGCGATGTGCAGGAAATACAATTTACAAGAAGTGCAGAGGTCAGAGGGACACCAGAAAGAACGCCACAGAGATGCAATCAGCAAAACTCAGACTGTGGAAAATTATGCAACAAATAACCTGGCTCCCTCAAGGAAAAAGAGAAGAGAGAGAGAGAGAGAGAGAGAGGGAAGAGGAGAGAGAGATGGAGCAGGAACCTGTAAAGAGATTTAGAGGTCCTCTCAATCAGTTTCAGTGTGTACATTTTATTTGAATCCTGATCCAAATACACCATTAAAAAAAGACATGATAAATTGGAAATTTGAACTCTATAGATCTGATATTAAGGAATTATTAACTGTGAGGTCTACTCCTGTGATTAGATACAATACTTGTGATTAGGTTAAAAAATGATTCTCTTCCAGAGGTACATACTGATGTGTTGACAGAGGTGATTGAACAGGAGGGGGAGATCGGGAGGGGTATGGGTGAAACCAGGTGGGCTGAGAACCGACCGTTGAAGCTGGGTGATGGCTATACTGGGGCTCATTATATGACTCTATGTATCTGTTTTATTTAAATATTTCTAAAATATGTGGATAGATGCTGCGCTGTGACTCTTCTCCCTACCTGCAGGCCCCAATGAAAAGAAGGTGCTGAGTGTCCCAGCAGCAGACTGCTGTGAGGAGGGCAGGTCCCCTGCTGGGCCAGGGGAGCCGTTCAGGGCACTTCCAGCTGGGCCCTGACACAGTCCCTGGTTCCCCTGGTTTTGGGGGAGGGAGAGAAGCATCATTAAGGAAGTCTGGCCTCTCTGGGCCAGGTGGCACTGAGTTCGGGCACTGCCACCTTAAGACAGCTGAGGGTATGAGTGGGTGACTCCAAAAATAGCAAAGGAGGAGGGGTGGGGGGAGGGAGGGAGTCACATGGTGCTGCTGAGGGGCTGGGGCCTGGGCAGCTGGCCCTGCTCTGGCACCTCCGCCTGCTCCCCCAGGGCCCTCGGACTCTGCCTCTGCCTCCAGAGCCCTTCCGCCTCTCACCCTCCACCTCTGAGCAGGCAGAGAGGGGCCAAGGTGACTCTGGGTCAAACACCACCCTGCCCAAGAGCCCGGGTGGATGCTGACTCCGGAATTTGCTGGCTCTCTAGGGACAGGCGGGACAGTCAGAGGAAGGGAAAAGGACTAAGTCACCTGCTCACCAGACACCCCAGTCTGCAGGCCACCCCCTGCCGCTTCAGGCTACCTACCCAGGGCAGAGCCTAGATATCCTTGCAGGGCCCTTGGTCACGGGGGTGAGGTGGTGATGTCCTTTTCCCAAGGTCAGCAGGGATGCTCCAATGGGCACCAAGAATTGTGGAAACCTGGCATCTGTGAGCTCCTGCCTCCTTCTGAGGGCAGCTGGGGGGTATGGCCCTTACCCGCTCTGAGTGGGAAGTCCCCAGAAGGAAGGTACCCCCCTTCACACCCACACTGGGGTCCTTCAGCGGATGCAGAAAGAAGGGGAAGAAGCGCCGTGGATTGAGTCAGGCCTGGGCTGAGTGCTTTATGTGCATTCAGCTGGTCAGCAGTGTGGCCTTGGGGAAGTTATACCCTCTCCGTGCCTCAGTTTCCTCATCTGCAAATGGGGACAATGGTAACTCCTACCTCATGGAACTGCTGTGAGGTGGAGTGAGTTACTCTATGTAAATACATGTCAAACCTGCAGCACGGAACAGGCAGGGCTTGGCTGTCACTGCCCACCAGCGCGTGAGCCCCACCTGGCCAGGGTCTGCTCACCTCTGCCTCCTGGGCGCCTGCTCCAGAGTAGGTGCTCCATGAACTTGTGCCGACTTCGTGATGTTGTGGATTCTTCACAAGGACACGGAGAGGCAGGCGTCGTCGTCGTGGTGGAAACAATGTCCAGGGAGAGCGACCTCTGTCAAGGCCACATCTCCAGGAAGCGGTCGAGGTGCTTCACGCCCAGGCCCGCGGGCCTCTCAGCCTGTGCCCCGCTCCACTGCCGCCCCCTGGCTGGTCCTGTCTGGGCACCTCTCTCCTTTCAGACCTGGGGGATGCGTTGGAGGACCCTGGACTGGGGCTGAGAGCTGGGCGGGCAGGCACCCCGCGTGCTGTGGAGGAAGCTGCCGCAGGGTCCCCCGCACCTGGTCGTTGTCAGGACCTGGGCCAGGATCCAAAGAAAATAAGATCCTGCTTCACCCCACAAAGCTGTGTGGCTGGGCTGTCACAGGGGTTGAGGGGCCCTCCTGCTGGGCCTAGGGGAGAACAGAAAGGTTCAGGGAGGAGAGGATGCCAGTGAGCGGAGGTTTGCCGGCCGGACGAGGGCAGGAGGGGAGCCCGGCAGAGGGCGCAGCGTGGGCAGAGTGTGCAGATGGGGGACAGCATCTCAGACTGGGGGGCGGCAGAGTGGGGCTGGGCAGAAGCCTGGGGTGGGGTGGGGTGGGGTGGGGTGGGGGGCAGAGGAGGGGATTCTAGCCTGGATGGCCAGGGCCAGGAAAGGCCTGAAGGCCCCCAGCAGCTCGGGAACTCGGAGCGAGGGGAGCCATGAAGGTTTCCACTGGGCGGGGGCAGGGCGGGGTGCTGTGGCTAGGAAACACACTCTGGCCACTGGGAGGGTGATCCAGGGGAGCTTGTCACGTGAGGAGGGTGTCCACCCCAGATTCAGCTCTGGGTGGGGAAGGGAGGGCTCCACTGGCTGAGCAAGGGCCCAGCTGCTCTGGGGCACCTCCCGTCCCTCCCCCGGCCCTGCTCCAGGCCCCTGTCTCCGTCACTCACAGGGTGCCTGTCTCTGTCACTCCGTCACCGTCACTGGGGCCGCCTGGCTGGGCCGCCATGGCCGCTGCGCCTGTCTGGACTCCTCTCCTTGTGGGCAAGTCGGGGCCTCCTTCGGGGCGAGGCCCGGGGTGAAGGGGTGGGGTTTAGTTGTGATGACAGGGAAACAGGGGAGTTCCTCCGAGGAGGAGGCTTCTGGGGTGAGGCCGGGGTCAGTAGGAGTGTGTGTGTGTGGGGGGGGGGTGCTGGTGGGAGGCCCAGGGGACTGGAGCTGGGAGCTGGGACACGGGGCTGGAGCTCTGAGGGGTGGGCCCGAGAGCAGGAGAGTCGTGGGCCCTTTAACGGGCTGCCTGGCTGCTTCTCCCTGGGCCCCGGCTAAATTCGGCCCGGGGTGGGGGGGTGGGGGGTGGGTGGGACCTGCGGAACACCTTTCCCTGGGCTCCTATGCACCTCCGGTGGGGGCCTGCTCCCCTGTATGTGAGGGGAGGTGGGTGAGGGTCCACGAATGGCTGCCCCCCTCCCCCGAAGGCCCCTCCCCTTTCCCCGCACCCCCAGACTCTCAGACATTCGCCGAGGGGCTCTTTTCCAAGTTCCCTAACCACACACACACACACACACACACACACACACTCACGCACTCACGCACTCACGCACTCCACCCCCTCCCAGCCACACCTCCGCCTCTACCCATTGTGACCCCCAACAGGGGCCTTAAATTAGAATCGGAGGCTCCATGAATTCAAGCCAAACTGAGCTCTGGTCTCATCACTGGTCAAGTGTGTGACACCTCCAGGGCCCTACTCTGTCCTTTCCCGGGAGCCAACAAAGGAGCCCCCTCCTCTCATACACTTCTGGTCCCTTAGGGGTGCCAGGGTCATGGTGGGGGAGGGGAGCCCCAGGCTGAGGCCGAGACCAGCTGGGGGGCTGTGGGGTCCGCACAGGTCTCCTGGCAGGGCTGGGGGGCACCGAGGCCCAGCAGACCACTCTGCACCCGGTCGTGGGCCGTATCTTCGTGCACACGCTGGACCATGGAACCTTCTTCAGCCTTCCTGAGCCTGGCGGTGAGTGGGGCCTCCTGGGCACTGCGGTGGGTTGGGCAAGCCTGGCGCGTGGCTGGTGAAGGCTCCTGTCGTGTCTCCAATGCCCTCTCCTCCCTTCCACCAGCCGACCCGCCCACTGTCTCTGTCACCTACCATGCCCACCTCCAGGGTCACCCAGACCTGCCTCGGTGGCTTCGCTACACCCAGCGCAGCCCCCACCAGCCTGGTTTCCTCTACGGTAGTCCCACCCCAGAAGATCGTGGACGCCAGGTCATTGAGGTACCAGCAGGGACCCCAGTGGACTGTGTCACACGTGGTGGTTCATTCGTGTTCATTGACACTATTTACACGCCTCTAATCTGTGAGTGGCTCAGCCCTTTCCTGCCAGGCCCCAGCTGTACCGCCTTTCTCCGCTAACCCCACCCCTCGGGCCTCTTCCCGGCCCCCTGCAGGTCGTAGCCTACAACCGGGACAGCTTCGACACCACCCAGCAGAGGCTGGTGCTGTTGATTGGGGACCCAGAAGGTACTACCTACCCCGCCCCACCCACACCCCATCAGCAACAGTCTTGAAGCATCTCCCCTGGAGGGGGTGTGTGGAAGGGAAACCTTGGAGAGGAATGGGGAGCAGGGCATCTTGGAAAGTCTCTGGAGTTGTAATCCCGGCTGCTCTGCTGGCAGCTTGTGGGTGTTGGGGAAGGGCCTTTGGCATCTGTGATCAATAGGGTGTCAGGGAGGAAGGAAGGAGTCTGAGGGGACATAGGGAGGAGCTCGGGTGCAGGGAGGCTTGGGAAGGGTCTCTGCAGGGCCGGGTGCAGCCTGAGGTGCGGACCGGATGCTTCCAGGCCCCCTGCTGCCGTACCAGGCTGAGTTCTTGGTGCGCAGCCATGACGTGGAGGAGGTGCTGCCCTCGACACCTGCCAGCCGCTTCCTCACAGTCCTGGGGGGGCTCTGGGAGCCGGGAGAGCTCCAGCTGCTCAACATCACCTCTGCCTTGGACCGTGGGGGTCGTGTTCCCCTTCCCATCGAGGGACGCAAGGAAGGGTAGGCACGCAACCTAGGAGGGCCTCCTGAAGGAGGCAGTTTGCCTTCTGTCTGGGTGCTAGGCACAGAACATGGGTCTCCCTAATTTCCAGGTGGGGCTTTGCCCACCTTTGCACCTCCTCACCGTGGTTCTGCGTGTTTTTCCATAAACATCTTTGCTGCAAGCATTTTGACCACGAGCATTTTTGCTGCAAACATTTCCTCTGCCTAACTAATTGGCCACGAGGCAATTTTGCTATAAAAGATGAAAGAAAAATAAAAGAGAGACATTAAAAAAGACATAATGAAACATGAAAAATTAATAATAAAATAAAAGACTTTATTGCAAAAAATGAAAATGCATTCTTTTTGGAATCTTCCCTTCATAGTATTATACATTTTTTTGACTGTTGATTACTCTTGTTTGGCATTGCATTTTTTTCTGTTCTGCTAAAACTTCTTCCTTAATTAAGGGAGGCATCAGCCCTGGCTGGTGTAGCTCAGTGGATTGAGCATGGGCCTGCAAACCAAAGGGTCACCAGTTCAATTCCCAGTCAGGGCACATGCCTGGGTTGTGGGCCAGATCCCCAATAGGGGATGCGTGAGAGGCAACCACACATTGATGTTTCTGTCCCTTCTTTCTCCTTCTCTTCCCCTCTCTCTAGAAATAAATAAATAAAATCTTAAAGAGAGAGAGAGAGAGAGGCATCAGTTTCCAACTAGAGTCGATAAATTAGCAGTGCCTCTTTCATTCGTGCATGGCTGGGTAAACTTTTGGTTTTGAGAGGTGGCAAGGACAACTGTACTCCCTGAAGGATTTGCAAGCTGAGACGTGGTTGTTTTCTAGCTGAGGATGCCATCTGGCTTCACATGTGCCTTTGCAGCCTGGCTCCTGGGGTCGTTGTGAATGCGCACTGTCTCAGACCACCACGTCTGCTTGGCGCTGTGCGGACCACTGGGAGGGCTAAGACTTGTCTCACGATGAGAGTTCTGGGAGGAACTTTGTCAATGGAGACGTGAAACCAAACCGACAAACTGCATTAAGTCCGCTGGAGTAAACCAAGCTGCCGAGCAGTCCACTTGCCTCAGTCAATTAGTTCGCAGAGAATGTGCTCGTGGCAGAGATGCTTACTAGGAAGCTTGCGGACATGCCTCCCTAGGCCCGTCTACACCTCCTAGTTCCACGCACTGGCCCCTCCCTCCAGCCACCCCTCATCTCCCTCTGTCCCTCCCTGCACCCAGGCCCAGGCTACCCTGACCTCCACCTTCCTGCGCCCTCCCCGTTTGCTAACAGCGGCTTTTCTCTGGGCCCAGGGTATACATCAAGGTGGGCTCTGCCTCACCGTTTTCCACCTGCCTGAAGATGGTGGCGTCTCCCGACAGCCATGCTCGCTGTGCCCAGGGCCAGCCTCCGCTTCTGTCCTGCTACGACACCTTGGCCTCTCACTTCCGTGTTGACTGGTGCAATGTGTCCCTGGTGAGGAGAGACCCTGGGGGGCATTCAACATGGCTCTCATCACCATCCGATCCCTGACCCCTTCCCATCTTTCTGATTATTCATATTCTCCCTCTCTCTCCCTCTCTCTCCCTCTCTCCCTCCCTCCCTCCCTCTCTCTCTCTCTCTCTCTCACACACACTTCCACCATCTACCACAAGAGGGCGACAGAGTCCACAACCCAGAGCTCTCTGGCTCCTGAAGGCCCATAATAGTCATTCCCACTATGCGGTTCCAAAACCCTTACCCGACCACCAAAGGCCTCACGTGACAGCTCTGTATGCTTCCTTCTAAGGTGTCACTGAGCAAATCTGCCTGTGGCCCATGTTATAAATCAGAGGCGCTCACCACTGCTCCTTGGTTGTTGAGCGGAAGTATCTGAGGTCCCTAGCAGCCAGGGGCTGGTAACCAGCAACACTCTGCAGCACTGGCTAGGGGCTGGGCTCTAGCATGCCGCCCATTTTATTCTTACAAGCACCCCAGAAGACAGGTACCAGTCTCATTCCAGCTGTCCCGGTTAGGACGCTGAGGCACCCGGGGGTAAGCACTTGTCTGAGCCGAGTTTCGACCCCAGACAGTCAGACCCTGGAGCTGTGTGCTGGGACCAGGCTCCATCCTGCTTCTGAAAATCGCTCTCCTGGATCCCAGTCCAGGGCGTGTCTTGCTGCGTCACCTGAGCTGGGAGAGGCAGGCAGGAAACCTGTCGCATGGGGCCGTAGGTAGTGGCACCCCGAATCCCTGCCCTGTGTCCCCCAGGGAGGGGGGCTGGTCTCTGTGTCCAGCCAGCGGCTCCTGGCTCAGCCCTGGGCTCTCTGAGCAGGTGGATAAGTCGGTGCCAGAGCCTGCAGACAAGGTGCCCACCCCAGGAGATGGGATCCTGGAACGTGACCCCTTCTTCTGCCCACCCACGGAGGCCACAGCCAGGGACTTCCTGACCGACGCCCTGGTCACCCTCCTGGTGCCTCTGCTGGTGGCCCTGCTGCTCACCCTGCTGCTGGCCTATGTCATGTGCTGCCGCCGGGAGGGACGGTGAGTGCTGGGGACAGAGGGCAGGGAGGGCCCCGAGGCTGGTGCTCATTCGTGGAGTCCCGGTGGCACTTGTGCTGTGTGGGGACCCAGACTCCCCAGGGAGTGGGGTGCCCAACCAGAAAAGGAGGGGGGCCCTTTCTAGGTGACTCAGGGCTCAGGTCCTGCCTGGCACCCGGGGTGGGGGGTGGATGACAGTTAATCCCTTTCCCTGCTTTTCCACAGGCTGAAGCGAGACCTGGCCACCTCTGAGTGAGTAAAGGGGGAGCTGGGGGCTGGGCGGGAGCCTCCGGCCCCACTGCGGCGGGGGGGGGCCTCTAGCCTCCATGAGAAGCATAGACAGACCAGATTATTCGGAGATGATGGGGGCCACCCTTGGTCTCAGAAATCCAGTCCTGGGCTGGCTGGATGCTGGGCCTCACTAATCCTGGCTTGGTCTTCTGATGTCTTCGGTTTCCATGGAAGAGTCTAACAGGGGATGGGGCAGGGGAGGGGACCTGGTCAGGCTTGGGAGGGTCTTCTGCCACCCTGAGGAAAAAGGTTGGAGAAGCAGCCTGAGGGGCTTACAGCACACCTGTGCTCACACTCATGTTCACACCCACTTGGCTATGGATTCGACGCTTGGGCTCCAGCCCGGGTTCTGCCACACACTCACTGTGACCCTTTCTGGCCTCGGTTGCTGTGCCCGTGGTGTGGTGAGACCAGCTCATGCCTCTGGGTGTTTCCCATTCATGAAGCCCTTCCTAAGTCCATCTCGCCCTTAAGTTGCCTTTAATTTGCTCAGGTTTCCCCTACCCATGGCCCCACCCCCCTCCCTGCCCCAGCAGAACCCCAAAAAAGACTACAGGAGGCAGGAGTTAAATAAGTCAGGCTCCTTTTATTGCCACTGCTCTGAGCCTGCGGTGGGCCTGGCCCCTCTGCGAGTTTCTCTGGGCCTGCCTCGTTAATTGCGGCGGCATTTGGCCGCCCTGCGAGCCCCCTTGATTAGCCGCCTGTGTCCCTGTTTGGAGCTCAGTAGAAACCTCCGCTGCCCAGACCGGCGCTGCCCAGACCGGCACTGCTTCTGCTGTCCCCGTCCTTTGGCCTCGAGCTTGAACTTGGAGGCCTGCTTCTTGTTCATGCGGAAGGAGCCTGAGGTCCCCTTGCTGGTCACCCGCTTGAGTATGCCCTTGTCCACCAGCCTCTTGAGCACTTTCTTGAAGCGCCAGGCGTTGCGGGTCATGTTGTAGCCCGTGGTGATGAGAGCCTTCTTCAAGGTGGTCAGGGACACACGGCTGCGTCCCCCCTTGTCCGCCATAACCTCCAGGATCACTGTACATATGCTGGGCTTTCTGCAGGCTTTGGGGCAGGCGGCGCGGCACCCAGTCTGGCTCTTGCTAGGGACTCCCGACACATCGGCCTGCTGGCCTGCACCGAGGGCGCTGTTGGAGGCCGAGGGTACAGAGGAGGGTGGCATCAAAGTGTCTTTCTGCATCCCTTCCTCGGGGGGCTGAAGGGGACTGGGTGCGAGGACCTCCAGGATGGCGGCTGGATTCTGCAATCGCTGGCTCCTCTGTGGGTGGGATGCGTCCCAGTCTCTGTCGCCCTCAGAGGCTTCGTCCTAGGGCTCCGGCTCAAGCCTTCCTCTGAGTGGCCAGGAGGAGGGCCAGGGGTGAGCACCCACGGCTGGCCTCAGCAGACTTGTGCCTCGGGAGCAGGGGGTGGGAGGCTTACCTCTGTGGTGACCTCAGGGGGACATTATGAGGCCACCAGAATCCTGCGAGGGTCACAATGGCCCCACTGCTCCCTCCTGGGAGGGGAGGACAGGAGATGCCAGGTGCCCTGGGTGGAGGGCTGTGGACCCACACCTGTGTGCATGTATATGCGCAGTTTCGGGGTGCTCTGCGGCCCCAGTTTTAAACCCACCATTTTCAGCCCCCACCTCACCCCACGGGGCTGAGAAATACAAACATTTTTAGTTCAGAATTACACCGACATTTATTTATCGACATGTATACCGAATAAGTTTCCAGAGTGAGTAAAATAATTCCTCGATCTACCTCAGTTGATGTAATTCCTTGATCGAGTTTCTATACAAAGGAATGAACAGGTTATTTTTTTTCTATTTTCATTTTTAACTGATAGAATTTTTTCTCCCGTGGAGGTCAGTGATTTTTCCACGTCAGTTTTACACGGGAGATTTTGTTGCTCCATTTGTTTGGCCTGTGCCAAATTTGATCAATTACATCTTCTGCCACTGTGATTGTGGACATCCTCTTCTGACCGGGCATTTCCACCGCGTCCAGCTTTTCTGGGGCAGTGTTTTAAAAATTAACTTTTTAACTTTTTAAATTATTTGTTGATTTGAGAGAGAGAGAGAGAGAGAGAGAGAGAGAGAGAGAGAGACGTGACTTGTTGGGCTAGCTGTTGCACCCGTTCACGCATTCATGGGTTGGTTCTCCTATGTGCCCTGGCTGGGGATTGAACCCGCAACCTTGGCCCACGGGGACACCGCTCCAACCAACTGAACCACCTGCCCAGGGCCTGCGTCAGTTTTGCGGCTCGGATGGCATCTAGATCTGTTTCTTCCTCCTATTTTGGGTCGATAACCAATTTTACCACGTGCGATGTTAGCCCTTGCTGGTTTGGATTTTCTGATTTATTTCGACGAAATCATTTTTTTTATCTTGAACAATGACTACCATTTTTCAAATTATCCACAAATTGTGATTCTGCTGCTTGCTTTTCACTCATGTCAGATTTATTGGTTGGGAACTCCCGCGGTCTCAGCCCTCTGCGGCCCAGGGGGCAGAGCGGGGCGGGGCGGGGCAGAGCGGGGCGGAGCTCCGGTTGTTCCGGGGCTGAGCTGCCGGTGGTGGTGGTGGTGGTGGTGGTGGTGGTGGTGGTGGTGGTGGTGTGTGTGTGCGCGCGCGTGTATAGGAAGTCTGCCCCTTTGTTTCTTCTTCTGCCCAAGTGCTGATGCAGGAGGACTGTGAGGAAAGGCACCTCAGCTCTGGCTTCTGGAAAAACACCCCCAGAACATTTTTCCACCTGTGTGTGTTGCCAAAGTAACGAGACACAGATGTGGCGCTGGGCGTGGGGAGGGGGCCATTAACTGCAGCCCTTCCCCCACCGGGGCGTGGCCTGCCTGGCAGTCTCCAGCCCTCAGCATCCACACGCCTCTTGCAACCCCCGCTCCCCAGCCTTCCCTTGCCTGGGAATGGAAAATTGTGTTTTGAATAACTCCACTTGCCAAATTCCAGACTCAAGAGCTCATTTTGACCCTCCCCTAGCCTTAGAGGGTGACTCCGCCTCCTCCCGTTAGCCAGACGGGACTATGCCCTCCTCTTTCCAGGAGCGTGGCCCGCTCCGCAGGACGCTGGAAAGTCCTTCCCGGAATCTAATCTGCCAGGCTCTAGCTGGAGTCTGTGTCCACGAATTGAGGCTTGGACATAAGTGGGGATCACTTGTCCTCCCCTGCTCCTCGGTCGTTCCGAAGCAGGCAGGGCCCCTGCCTGGGGCCCCAGCCCTTTAAGAAAACCAAGACTTATTGCTTGTAATGAAGAGCCCAGGCTGGCTGGCTGGCTGGCTCTCTGTCCTGGCAACGAGGTAGTCAAGGAAGATCTCCCCAGGCCGGGCCCCACACATGTGGGTGGGTTTGTGCAGAAGGGATTGGAATCATTCTTCCACTGAAGGCCAAGTGTATCAGGCCTCCCTGCGCTGGAGGGCAAGTGGGCTCGCCTTGATAAAATAACACCAATGATCGCGGTAGCAACCAGAGATTCCCTGTAATAATAGCTACCACCTGATGCATGCTGATCAGGAGACATTCTGTTTTCCTGTGGGAACTCATTTCATTGTGTTATCGTCGTGGAAACAGTGGCACAGGGAGGTTAAGTAACTTGTACAAGGTCACATGGCCAGGAAGCAGTAGAACTCACATTCGAACCTAAAGCAAGTCTTCATGCTTGACCTTGGCGCTGCCCTGCTTGTCAGAATGAAGGAAAGCTTGCCCCGGACAGCAGGAAGTGAGCCCGTGAGAGCGTCAAGCCCTTGACAATGAGGCTGAGCCTTCTGAGGAGAAATAGGACCTCGCGCTCCGAGAGAGGGCTGATGGTGGAGCCATCAGCCCTCTCAGGCCTGTGGAGGGGCGGAGCTTGGTGCAGGCCTCAAGAAGCCTTGGTTTGAAACAAGGACAGGGGGACAAGACTGTGTCTGGAGCTAGTCAGTGCCAGGGGCTGACTGGGGTGCAGCAGTGGGGGGAGAGGCCAGTGCACAAAGGGAGAGGAGGACAGGCCCGAGGAGCCAAAAGGACACGGTCAAGGCCTGGCAGGACTCGGGGAGCCAGCTTGGACAGAAGCTCGGAGGTGGGAAAAGGGGGAGGGTGTAGGTTCGCCAGACTCAGACAGGGGTGGGGGAGGGCAGGAGGACTGGATGTGCATGGTAGGAGAGAGAATTAGGCGAGGGAGCTGCGTGCTAGAGGGGACCTAGAGGATCATCAGAATGTGAAGACAGAAAATAAAGCTCAGCACACGCCGGCCTGTAGAAATACAGATGCACCGTGGGCGTCCACATCTCAGCGTCCTGGGAGCTCTGTCCACATGCCAGGCAGTTTCCCAGACACTCACTGAATCCCACAGCCAGCCTAGGGGGTGGGCTGTCTTGTTAGACCCATTTTACAGGCGAGGAAACTGAGGCACAGAGTGGTGAAGCACCTTGTGAAGGACGCATAGCTTTGAAAGCAGGCTGCTACACCCGGAGCCTGTGCCTCAGCCACTGGCACTGAGCTGGCACCACAGAACTTCCTGTTTGTCCCCGCCCCCCACCGTTGCATGTGTCACTCTCTCCCTGGGTAACACGTAGGGAGACTGCAGGGGGCTCAGAGGCAGTGCCAGGCTGAGCCCCAAGCTTGGGGGCGGATCCCTAGAGCCGACAACTCTGCCGGTCCTGCACCCCCAGCATCCAGATGGTGCACCACTGCAGCATCCTCGGGAACACGGAGGAGCTGCGGCAGATGGCAGCCAGCCGAGATGTGCCCAGGCCGCTCTCCACCCTGCCCATGTTCAACGTGCGCACGGGTGAGCGGCTGCCTCCCCGCGTGGACAGTGCCCAGGTGCCCCTCATCCTGGACCAGCACTGAGGGCCTGCCAGGTGGGTCCAGCAGGGCGGTGCCGGCCTTATTCCTGGGAACAAGGTGGGCTCTGCCTCAAGGCTGGGGCAGGTGGTGGGGGGTGTGGGAGGTCTGGGGGGGCACATAGACCTGCCGCCCCACCAAGGCGGCAGCGAGGGGCCGCTCAGCAGCGCCAGGGCTGTGCCCCATGATGCCAAGTCCTCGGGGCCAGCGTGTCAGGGCAGGGGAGGCAAGAGAACCAGGGCCTGGGCCTCCCCTCTTGCTCCAGCTCCAGCCCTGGCCTCATCCTCCCTTCTCCTACGACTGCAGAGCAGCCCCCAACCCAAGGCCGCATCCTTCCTCCTGACTCTGGCGCCTGGCCCGGAGGGCTCCACGCTCGGAACAAGGAGAGAGACGGAAGTGGGGTGGCGTAAGGGTGTCTGGGGTCGGAACCCCCAGAATAATAAACACCTGCAGTCTGCTCATCTGTTGCTGCCCCATTTCTCCTCTGCAGCCTCCCCCAGCCCTCACAGCCCGTTTACTCACTTCCTCCTGGGAGCCCTCCGAGGTAGCCGAGGTAGCCGAGGGCTGCTGGCCCGCCCTCTGGACTCAGCGTGTGGCCGTTTCCTCAAATTCTCTGGCGCCGGTCTTCATCCTCACAGAACCTCACAACGAGGGATTACTGGATCATTTACAGACAAGGAAACTGAGGCCCAGGGAGAGAGAGTGACTTACCCAAGGTCACAGAGCAAGCAAGCGTCAGAGCTTGGATTCACACCGGGCGCGTCTGCCTGTCCCTGGAGGGAGGGCTGAGAGGTGCTGGGAGTGGGGGATCCAGGCTCTCTCCGGCCCAGATCCCAAGAGGGAGGGCCCCTTGGTAAGTCATGTCGGGAAAGAACCCGATGTAGCCATGGAAAGAGATGTCGGGACGCAGGACCCTGGCTGCCCAGACTCAACGCCCCCTGCCTGGGGGGCTCCTCCAGGGGCTTCTTGGTGTGGTCCCCAAGGGCACCCTGGAGAGCTCAGTGGGCCAGGAGGGAACCCCAGCCTGTTTTCCCCAGGTGGTGACGACCAGAGCAGGCTGCCGTCCGGGCCACCAGCCTCCAATGTGGCTGCCCCCTTGGGAGGACACACCCGAGAGGGCTCAGAGAAAGGATGCAGCCCGGGTGCTGGCTCCAGGCGGCAGCTGCAAGAGAATCCAAAGGAGGAGGGCAGGACGTCAGCCCGGTGCCCCTGTGCCTCCAGATCCCCTTTTTAGTTCTGTGCACGGCTCGGGTGGACCTCGGGGACCCACCACTGCTCTGGAACTGACTCTCAGCCGTTCTTCTCCACCCCCTCTCAGCCCACCCTCCACCCCTCCACCCTCTCCAACCTTTCCCCTCTCCCCAGGGGTGGTGAGCAGGGCCATGGAGATGCACTGGGAGTTCCCCCTCACCCGAGACGGGGCCCAGGCTTGGGCTGGCGGGCTGGGTGGACCGGACCATGTCTGCAATCTAACGGAGGTGGCCCCCGGCCAAGGATTCCTGAGGAGGGTTGCTTCTCTGAATACTGTGTCCCAGTGTTCAGAAATGGATAGACAGAGGGGTCACAAGGGCCCCCAAATTGTCCTTGTACCCCCTTCTTTCTCTCCCCAGAATCCCTATCTTCAGAATCCATCCCGAATCCATCCCCCGCTAGGCCTCCACTCTAACCTTCCCAGTCCCCCACCAGGGTCTCACTCCTGGACCCCACACTACAGCCCCCCCTGGTCCTCCCCACTTCCTCCCTGCCCACCAGTCTCCTCTCCAACAGCAGCTGGGCCCATCCTTTAAAAGGGAAAATCAGGGGTCTTATCCTGTGCTCTCAACTCCCAGTGGGTGCACAGGCCTGTCCACCTCCCTGACCTCGGCACCTCACTGTCCCTCCACTCTCCGGCTGCAGCCACACTGCCCTGCCTGCTGGCATACTTGTTTCAGGCCTTGGCCTCTGCTCTGCCCCCTGGCAGGACCCCAGGTCCCCTGCAGCCCACGCAATGAATGGCCTCCTCCTTGCAAATTCAGATCCTCAGAGAGGCCGTGCCCCCCCTCGGAGAGCCCCAGCTGGCCCGGCCTCGGGGCACCAAGCACTCCCCACTCTCTGAGAAAGTCTGTTCTGTTTGCTGCCTTGTGGGGGTCTTAAACTCTGGGAGGGCAGGATTCTGCGTGCCCCCAGGGGGTGCAGTGCCCACACACAGCAGGCACTCTGGAAAGATGTTCTGAAGGAAGGAGGTCTGGTTGCTCAGAGCTCGGTTGCCCCTCACTGGGCAAAGAGGGTGAGCAAAGCCATTGCTAACGCTTCTATCACGACGTTCTGCGTGACACCCCCAGCCCCGCCCCCGGGGGCACCCCATACCCAGTAGTTAATCCCATAAGCATCTGTGGAGGCTGGCAGCGGCTCAGCGTGTGGGCACTGAGAGGGCTCCACAGACGTTTGTTGCAGACACGGGTCTCTGGGTGTCCGCCCCCAAGCACACGGGTTCTCTGGCAAGCAGGTGCCTCTGACTTCTCATCTGCAATTTCCTCCTTTCTCTGGGGGCCCCTCCTCTGGCCGAAAACTAGGAGCTGCACAGAGCCTGCTCAGTGTGGACTCTCCAGCAGCTGGCCTGCAGTCTGGGGCAGCTCCTCCCTGAATTCTACCCCCTTGGGGAGGGGGCAGCCCTCTGTGCTCCCACCTCGGATCTCTGCCTCCTTCCTGTGCCAGCCAGGACTGGAAGAGTCCAAGGCCAGCCCCTCGCTCGCTTCCCTCTGCTTCCCTGCTCTGCCTTGGGGTCTTGGCAGCACCTTGCCCTGCCCTCTTCCCTCGCAGCTCCACACAGCAAACAGGAGTCTGGCTGCCGGTCTGGGAGGAAGTGGCCCAGACAAGTAGCGGGGAGGATGGTGCGACTGCAGAGGACACAAGCCGTGCCGGTCATACATGCACACATGCACGCACGCATGCCCAGCCACCCCTGGCAGCACGGGGTGGGCCATGGGCACACTCAGCACCCTCTACACACTGACGGGTAAGATTCCACTGGCAGCCACACCCTGCCCCCTGCCACGGCCAAGGACAAAAAAGCCACAGTGTCCCCCCCACCTCCGCCCTGAGATTCAGTCTCCCCCACGACGCTTGACCTTACACCTTGCTCCACCCTCAGTCCCTGCGATCCTTCAGCAGGCACTGCCCACGTGGCCTGGTGAGCAGCCTCCACCTTCACCCTAAATGGCTCCCACGCACAGCCTGACTCTCGATGTCCTCTCACCACCTCTCAGTCAGCAAGGAGGGTCCCTGCCAGCCGTGGGGACACGGGGCACCGCCTGCGTCCGGTCCCAGCCCTCACCTGCACACTTCTCCTTTATTCTTGAAGCACACACACACTGCACTTCCCAGAGAGTGCCCTTGCTGTAGCTGTTGGGGGCAGGGGCCCGACTGAGCAGGGCTCAAACCCCAGCCTGGCAGCTACTCACAGACATGCATCGGAACTGCCTCGGGCCCGCCTCGGGCCCTTGTGAGAATCTGTGAGGGCCCAGGGAGTGTCTGGCATCGGGCGGCTCCCAAGCATGGAAACATTATTACGTACAAGTACTCACACAATCACCCCAAAACCCGGGGCCTGTGGGACCTCCCTGCCCCCTGAGATCCAGGTTAAGTGGGTTCACTTTCCATTCTGTGCCCTGTGAAGAGTTTGAGCTCTCCCTGTGAGCCTAGGGCGGAGCTGAAACTTGCAGGCTCCTGGGCACAGATCTGCTGCCCAGCGCTGTGCTGTCCGCTGCGGCGGCTGCTGGCCGCCTCTGGCCACGCAGCACTGTGGACGTGGCCGGTCTGAACCGAGAAAGGCTGCCAGGGCAGTGAGAACGATAATCTTGGGGGATAGATCGGATTAAATAAAATAAATTGTTACAGTTAATTTCGCCTGTTTCCTTTCATCATTTTATTATGGCTACTGGAAAATTAAAATGACTTGTTTGGCTCATGTTATGTTTTTATGGGGCAGCGTGGTTTCATCGCTGTTCCCTTATATCCACCCCAGATGCACCCACACCCAGAACCCAGCTCCCACCCCAGCTTCCTCCAGGCCACTGTGCCCGCGTCAGTCTTCCAGAGCCTCGGGGACCGGGACGGGGCTCCCCACAGCAGCAAAGTCACCTAACACTTGATTGTGTGGCCTCCTTGTTCTAAAATGTGTTTTCATCACCACTCCATCCCATCCTCCTCTTCCTCCCACTGTGTCATGCAGAGAAAACCCCACTTTCTCCAGCACCCGCGGGCCCCCAACTCACCTCCATGCGTCCTCTGCAAAGCACTGGAATCTCCTCGCGTCAAGGTCAATTACCTTCCTTGACAAAGGCCAGCCTTCTTCCGGGGCCTCGCCTTCCTGTCCATCTCAGGATGTCGCTCTGCCTCACTTGCCTTCCTCGGGGCACACCCCAGGATGGGGACCCAGGGACACAGAGACAGAGCCACTCACCAGCACTTGCCCTGGGACTGCAGGACAGTGGTCTTCCTTTATGCCCAGCCTCTCCTGATTGTCCCCACACCCTCCCCTCTCCGCCCGCCCCCATTCATCCATCCTCATTGCCCAGACAGACCCTCCCGTGCCCTCTGCTGCACCTAGGCACACCTGTCCCAAATGCTGGACCCATGCGTCCTGGGTTCACACAGGGTTTCTCCTGCCGCCATGTGCGTGGGGAAGCTTTCCCCACATGTGCAAACCCCTCACTCACTCCCAACACGCGTGCAGGGCCTCTGTGAACACGGACACGTCTGCTCACAGGCGGCTGGGCACTCAGAGAGTGAGGCACATTCCCATCCACACAGGGATGGCTGGGTTGGACTTCTCACTGGCTCACACATCACAGCCACCATGCAGCACCCCCCCCCCGCCCACTGTGGGTCCCAGCCCCCCCATCCCGCATACTCCACAGGCCCCTCACCCCAAGTGCCTGCGATCCAGCCAGGAAGCCCCTCCCAAGCTCTCTTCTCCCAAGCCTCACCCGGCTCCACCCAGGAGAGTCTTAAAGGCAGCTGGGAAGCTGAGGCTTAAGGAGATGGGGAGAAAAGGGAGGAAAATCCATCATATTTCGGTCTTAGAAAATCCTGCCAGGAGGTGGGCTCACCTCCCAAAAGGGACCCAGACTTCTGCAAGAGCAGGAAAAAAAATTAAAAATCCAAACAAAGCCTTTTCCCTTCCTGGAATTTCCCATCTGCATCCGACTGAAAAGTCATCATCCACAGGAACGTGGCCCATCTCCTCACAGAGCAGCGAAGGGGAGTCCCTCGGAGCAGGGCTGGGAACGGGCAGCGGGGCGCGGTGCCACCATGAAGGGGCAGGAGGGTCTGGGGGAGCCGGGCGGCGCCGCTGTATTTAGGGCAGCTGTGATGTCAGCGGAAAGGAGGGCTCGAGCTAGTAATGTGACACAATGGCCCCTTTGTCCCCTTCCTCTCGTGCGCTGCACACATACTGCCCTCGCACCACGTGGTACAGGCACTGCCACCGCCTGGGCCCTGAGGTTCGGCGTCGCCTCTGGTAGGGACGTGCACGCGCACGCTCGCGCGCCCATGGCCAGGTTGGCATTCGTACACGTGTAGTGAGAGGCGCATTCGTTCCTCCGCCTAGGGCTGCACTGCCTTGTACGGTAGTGGCTGGCCACAGGTAGCACTTAAAATGAATTACAGAGAAATTGCAATTTAAAATCGAGTCCCTCAGTCACATTATCCATGTGTCCAGGGCTCCACAGCCATGTGGGGCTACGGCCACTGTGTGGACAGCATAGCGGGATGGCACTCGCATCGCTGCAGAAGCACTGGCCCCGCCCCTCCGCAGCCGCCTGCTCGCACTCCCCTCGCACTTGGGGCTCGCTGGGCTTGCTCTTCATCCCGCACTTGCCCGCTCCCTTGCAGGGAGGCGCACACAGCTCCGCATTCTCACCCAGAAGGCTTGCCTCGCTCTCCTCTCCTCTCTGGTCTTCCAGGGCTTATGCGCCGCCCCGGTGCCAGGCCCTCACATCAGCCCCTGGCCTCTGGCCTCGGTCCCCTCTGCTTGGCCTGCAGAGAATAATAACAGGGTGAACGTGACAGCGGACAGCGACTGCGCCTGGTATTCAGGCTCAGGTGGACTTTGTGGACGCGGAGGGCTTTGGGGAGTCAGCAGGGGCAAGCTCGCCTGGGAGGGGCAGGAGAAGGAGGGGGCATGAGCCATCTGAGTGCGGCCTGGAGAGTCTGGGGTGAGCCGAAGCAGAGATGGAGGAAGTCACTTCCAGGGACGGGGAGAAGTAAGGGCCTGGCGGTGGGAAGCGTGGTGCACTTGCGGGAATTTCGATCACCCTTTCTGGCTGGTGTGCGGGGCTGGAGGTCCAGGAAAATGGGCTCACCTAGGCCAGTGCCAGGCAGGGTCACCCCTGGACCAATCCATCACCACAACACCAGGTAATTTGCCTGTGGATAAATCTTCCTTTACTTGCCACGATTTCTTACCCTCTTTAAACTAATTCCTTTTCAACACTGTCCTCACCGTGGTGAAGTGCTAGTGATGAATTATTCAAGGCCGCAATGAATAGCTCACGGTGACTGCTTCATGACAGCCATGGTACAAGCCTGGAAGGGCAAGTTCTCTGCAGACTTTCCATCTCTCTGGATTCCTTCGGGAGGGACACGGGCCAGTCCTGCCTCTGAGCTCGAGGCCCTAAGGCCTTGGGGGGAGACAAATGTCACCTTCTCCGCGGCTCCAGGTCTCTGGGCACCTGGTCAGCTCCAGGCTTCTGAGCCTCTGGATCCTCTGTGTCCCCACTGGCTGCACACCGCTGTCCCCCTTCCCTGAGATTGGGGAGCTGAGCAGTCGCCCCTCCCCACCCCCCTTGGAGCCTTAGGGTCTCAGGCAGGCAGGGAGGAGGCCAGCTGAGGGGCAGGGAAACGGGAGGGGAGGAAGAAGCAGGAGGAAGAGGCAAGGAGTTTTAAAAGGGTAAGGAATAGGCGGGGGGCAGGGGCTGGGCGAAATGACCTCTCCGAGCCACCCCACACCCAAGGGGGGGTCACATCCTAGGGACTTAGAAGGCCAAGAGGGATCGAGCACATGCTCAGCAGGGCCAGGGCCTGCCACCTTCCAGGTAGCGTGGCCCGCAAGGGCCTTGGCTGCAGCCCTCCCAGGCGGCTGGGCAGACCCCTCTCCCTCCCCTGGGGGCCCAGGAGAGTGAGGAAGCAGGAGGAGGTCCTCCCTTCTGGTCTCCTCATGGCTCTCAGCACAGCAGCTCAGTAAGGCCCTGCCTGTGCAGTACCACTTGGTGCTCCTTTGGAGGAGCTCAGAGAGGGCAGGGAGGGCAGAGGCCAGATGACCGTCCATGCTGGCCCAGGGAGAGGCCTTGTGGAGGGCTTCCAGGGACCCTCTATGGTCCCAGCGCCCTCACCCAGGCGTGGGGCTCCCAGCACCCCCTGGGCAGTGCCTCCTCAGGTCCCCCGGACCCTGCAGAGTGCCCGCAGCAGTGGAGAGGGCAGCAGGGTTGATGGCTTTGATGGGAGAGGGAGCCTGAGGTTTGGGCGGCCTGGGGTCTGGAGGGAGACTGTGTGTGTGTGTGTGTGTGTGTGTGTGTGTGTGTGTTGCTGCACATGTGCTTGCCTGTGTCCCCTGTAAGGGAGAGGAGGGGCTTGGGGAGACGTGTAACAAAGGTTGCATGAGGAAGGGAAGAAAACGGTTGAAGGCATAAGAAAGGCAAGAAAGAGGAGACGAGAGGGACCATGGAGGGTGCTGGATGTGGGGGGAGAGGAGGAGAGGGGTAAGGGAAGGAAGGAGAGCCCGCCCCTCCCCCTCCAGGGCTCCCTCCCCAGGTCTCTCCTCCCCCTCTCCCCACCCCCCACTCCAAGGAAGGAAATTAGGAGGCCACTGCAGATATCTTTGGGTCATTTCCACATGCTTTATTCCAGCAATCAAAATAATTAAAAACATCTCAAATTATTATACACATACAAAATAGGTACAGAGTCTCTTGGTTCCTCCCACCCCAGGGGGAAAACTGCTTTGTGCTTTGGGGAATTTGTGCTCCGAAACCCAGGAGAGAGGACGAAGGACAGAGGGGGAGAGAGAGGGGTGTGAGGGTGGGAGGCAGCGGAGGAGGGGGTCCAGAAGAGGGAGTGGTCTGGAGAGAGGCCCGAGCAGGCGAGGGGGTGGGGAGAGAGGCCCCGGAGTGAGTGGCGCTCTCTCCCCCGTGTTAAATAGCACCTTAAGAAAATTCACATGAATCCCCATCCACCAGAAAAAAAAAAAAAGCCAAAGAATTCAAGACTTGGAACAAAAAGGAACATTGGCTGGCCTGGCGGGGGTGGGGGGTGGCGTCTCGACTTCTATAGCACCAGTGATTTCCTGGCCACCCCACCCCACCCCGTCACAGAGATGTAGCACCTTTGATATAAAAGGGGGAGCCCCTCCTGCCCCGCCCCGCCCCATCCCACCCCCATGCAGTTGCCCGGTGACAAAGAGAGGTAGTCTTGCAGCAACACAGTTACACAACAGAGCGTCGCTCCCACCCAGCCCTGCTGCTGGCTTGGGAATTGCCGCGTTGTTTCCACTCTGCCTCGGCCCCTCCTGACTTTCCTCCAAACCCTGCGTCCCGTCGCGGGCCGGTGGTTTTCCTCGGCATTGCCCTCCTCAAAAATGAAGAGGGGTGTGTTGCCGGGGCGAGAGGACTCCGATGGTAAAGCTTCTTTGGCAGCTGAGAACCCTAGGTCCCCCCAGGGTTTGGGGGTCCTGGGCAAGGGGCGCGGGCTGGGCGTGGAGGGTCATTTGGGTGTTTTAGCATTGCCTTTGGTTGCTGGGCAGGCAACGCGTGGTGTCCTGTGACTTTAGGGGAGACTTAGATTTGGGGAGCAGTGGAGGGGCAGCCCCAAGAAGGCATGGAGAAAGGAGC